TGTGTATGTATTCATCAGTCTGTCTGTGTATGTATTGCATTTGTTGGAGATACTAATAAATATAAGCTTAATTTTATCTATTTATATCATTATTTAAAATTTGTATCATTGAACTCTCTGTGTTCTTTTAAAACAAAAGTTATTAGTTCGGACAACAGTTCGAGTTGTTTTTTTCTAAACTTAAACCTCAGTATTTGGGTTTAATTGCCGTGTTGGCACTTTAAGGAGAAAAAATGTTGGCATGTATTGCGGTTTGGGCACTCGGGCTCAAAAAGGTTCGCCATCACTAGTATAGGTCATGGTAATTAAAATTATGTCCCTAAACGCAAAAGGGCTTAACTCCCCGCACAAGCGCAGGCTGGCTATACAAGAGGCAAGGAAAAGTGGCGCTCTAGTGGCGTTCTTTCAGGAGACGCATTTCAGGTGGAAAGATAGACCAAAATTCACCTCTAAATGGTTTCCCCATGACTTCCAGACCTGTTTCACGGCCAAGCAAAGAGGTGTTTCCATTCTAGTTAGTAAGGATGTAGTATTCTCCCTGGTTCGCAAAATAACTGATAGAAAAGGGCGCTACCTGATTTTGCAATGCCTTCTTAACAATAACCCATATACGCTAGTCAATATTTACAGTCCTAATGAAAACCAACACGAATTCCTAACCTCGACTCTGGCCACACTTGATATGTACAAATATGGGGAGGTAATCATTGGAGGCGACACAAACTTCTTACTAGATAGTGAGTCTGACTCATCCACCGCTGCAGGGCTCTCTAAAAACACCCTGAGGAGACGAGCGGCTCTAACAGCCAAAGTATGCGCCACACTAGCTTCTCACCACTTAGTAGACCCATGGCGCATCCTCCACCCCACAGAAGTTGACTATACATGCCATACACTGGCACACAACAGTTACTCCCGCATAGACCGCTTTCTCATCCCCGCATCCTCCATAACTAATATAGAGGAAGCTAATATTGGAACAATATCATGGTCAGACCATGCACCCGTCACCCTAAGCATCAAGGAAACATTCCCCAATAAAGGGACAGGCACCTGGAGGCTGAATGAGTCTCTTCTGGTGGACCCCTATGTAGTGACGCAGGTTACCTCAGACCTACAGAACTACTTCGCCGAAAACACGGCGCAAGACTCACCGATAGAACAAATCTGGCTAGCGCACAAGGCGGTCATACGAGGCAGCCTTATAAAACACGCCAGTAGAGCCAAGAAAATAAGGCTAGCAACCTATAACTCCCTGGTAACAGAAATAGCCACACTAACACACTCCAACAAAAGAGACCCAAATAGGGCCACTTGCAAAAAATTGATAGACCTCCAAAATCAATTAAGAAACATAGAACTAGCTAAAACAACATATATTTTACGCAAAGCTAAACATAACTTTTTTGCCAACGGAAATAGAGCGGGCGCCAAACTAGCGTCACAACTAAAGGAGAGATGTGTGGCCTCCAGGATTGCCTTCCTAGTAGACAATAAGGGAGCGAAGACTTTGAACCCACAATGTATTGTAGACCAATTTGCAAAATATTACAGTGAATTGTATAACCTTAAAACTGACCCCAACATGTTCTTACCTACACATGACGACATTGACGGGTTCTTGACGGGACTTGACCTACCAAAATTAACAAGCGATGACCTAGACCTGCTACAACAACCATTCTCCATAGACGAGATCACGGCTGTAGTATCGAAACTACCAGCCCACAAATCCCCTGGCCCCGATGGCTTTACTAACGCATACTACCAGAAATTCTCACACATCCTCGCGCCACAGTTACTAAAACTCCTCAATACCTGCGCCGCCACAGGCGCATTACCAGAGGAGATGCTGCTGGCCCACATATCCACCCTCCCTAAGCCTGGCAAGCCCCCCACTCAATGTAAAAACTTCAGGCCCATTTCCAATGGGGATGCCAAAATCTATGCTAAACTCATCAGCAACCGACTAGCTCCTCTCCTACACAAACTGGTACACAATGACCAGTCGGGGTTCATTAAAGGGCGCCAGGGCTCAGACAACACCAGGAAAATCCTGAACATGTTATCCACGCTAGACACTAGGGGTTCGAAGGGACTCTTCCTCGCGCTTGACGCGGAGAAGGCCTTCGACCGGCTAAATTGGGAATACATGGCTAAAACCCTACACAAATTTAACTTCCCCATGTCCATGATCAAAAGCATAATGGCATTATATCACAAACCAGCGGCCAAAGTCTCCCATGGAGGCTTCCTGTCCAACCCCTTCTCTATTACTAACGGCACCCGACAAGGATGCCCCCTCTCGCCCCTTCTATACATACTAGCCCTGGAACCCCTAGCGTGCAAAATCAGATCCCATCCAGACATACAAGGAATCCCCATACGAGACAAGAGGTACAGCCTGGCCCTGTTTGCCGACGACATTTTCGTGGCACTAACAGACCCCACCCGCTCTTTACCACATATGCTGGAACTCATACAACAATTTGGAAAAGTCTCATACTACAAATTAAATCAAGACAAAACCCAAGCCCTACCCATCAACCTGCCAAAAACCCTGATAAACTCCCTTCGCACCACATACAAATTTGATTGGAGATCCGCCTCCATTACATACCTGGGGATAAAAGTGGCACCCTCCACCTCGGCCACGATAACATTAAACTACACACCATTACAAACGCTCTGCAACACTGAAATGCACAAATGGAAACATACGATGATCTCATGGCTGGGGAGGATTAATGCCTACAAAATGATGATCCTGCCCCGCATTCTCTATGTCTTTAGGATGATCCCCCTCAAAATACCAGCCCAATGCTGCAAAACACTACAAAAACTATGCAGCACTTTCATCTGGGGGGGTAAGAAACCTAGGGTATCCATGGCACTCCTCCAAACAGACACCCGCTCTGGCGGAGTTGGTCTCCCCAATCTCAGACAGTACTATAGAGCGGCTATTCTGTCCACAGGTGTCCTCTCCCACACACCACCTAATACGATTCAATGGGTAGACATGGAAAGAGCACAATTCCGCAACCAAAGCCTACTTGACTATCTCTGGACACCCAAACACCTCAGACCGCGACGACAGGATCTCTTCCCAACCACCCAGCTCACGCTGGCAGTATGGGATGAATTCATGGGAGCCAATGGATATAACAACTCCTTCCACCCCAAATCACCCATCTCGATACTCAGAACAATGGTAACAGACATACCACTTCAAGACTGGCATAAAGCAGGGATCAAACACATATCCCAACTGATGACCGAAGGGAAAGTAACACCCTTCCCCACACTACAAACGCAGTGGAAACTCCCCAGCCGAGCCATCTTCTCCTACTTACAGATTAAAAGCGTATTACAAGCACACATAACTACCGCACACAACCCAAACAGCTCCCCACAAACCACTTCACAGCTGCTCATTGACAGATGCTGGTCCTCACCCAATAAACCTAAAACACTCACACTATGTTACAAAACGTGGCAAGAACTCACGCCAGCTAAACCACATTCGCACAAAGCCCAATGGGAGATAGACTGTGACATAACCTTAACAGATATGGAGTGGCTACAAGCACTGAATGGGTTGTCCAAACAAACAAAATGTTTCTCACACATAGAGGCCCACAGGAAACTCATGTACCGGTGGTACATGACCCCACAACGACTTCACCAACTATTTCCCGCGACGAGCCCGCTATGCTGGAGATGCCAATCAAGCCCAGGCACACTGATACACCTGTGGTGGTCTTGCAGAGGCATCAAACCTCTCTGGACTGCCACGAGGTCAATCCTAGACACACTAGACATTCCAAAATTTGAACTAACAGCACCCATTTGCCTAATGCTCCTGCTTCCCACAGGCCTTAACCCAGGCCAAAAACAAATCATAACGTTAGTCTTCATGGCTGCAAGAAATCTCCTAGCACTCAACTGGAAATCCCAAAACTGCCCTTCTTTGCTACAGCTGACAGATAAAATAGGGCAATTCCATATATATGAGAGAATGGCAACCACATCTGCTAAGAATATCACACAATTTGACGTTACTTGGGGTAAATGGGAAAGAGAGTTTGGACGAATAAAGGACAGAACACCAACAATAGCAAACACTACCACAAGCACTAACCGGGACTGCAACCCGGACTAGCCCCCTACGCCACAGCAGTTCTACCACCAGACCAAGACAACCACCAACGAATTACGGGTATTGCTCGCGCACACCCACGCACTCCACCCACCTATAACCCCCCCACCCCCCCGGACACCCTTAGACCCCCACTCAGGTTCTAGACCCCCTACCGGACCCCTACCACCCAGCACCTAACGAAAAGACAAGAAGAAACTTTACGACAATTAGTGCTACCTTTCGCCACTGACGATTTACAATGCAGGCGACGACAAACGGAACACCTTTCACATGTAACAGCACTATATTGTCTCATGAAAGTTAATGCCACATTGTTAAGAATGTACTGATGTTACCTTGTGCACAATTGTTAGTTGTTACTATTACTACTGTGTTGGAACAATGTCTCTCGCATAATGGTGACACATTGTTTTGGAATCATGAGTGTCATACAGAGATGTTACCTGTTTAACCAACCCTCCCACCTTCTTTTCTGTACCTCCACAACCTCGATTAACACAATAAAATATAAATTTGAAAAAAAAAAAAATTTAGATTATTCAGTCACTGCAGCTAGAATAATCCCTAATTAACTTCAGTACAATGTTAGACTCTGAGAAGTACATCCATATAGCTTTTCGATGCCACTCTGCAGCGTGCTTTGCATGTTAATGGAAGATGTTATTTAAGCCCAGTTTTAATATTAGCAACCTCTTGTTCTTGCTGGCAGAGGTGGAAAGGTTATCTGGAAAGGTTATCAGATATCTCAGTATGAGCAGCATTTCACACTCCTTGCACCATGAACACTTCAAAACACCTGGGGGGGGTGGAGGAGGAGTCACGGTTTTGCAGTAACTTTTTAATTATACTTTTTTTCATTAGGGTCTCGGGGAAGACATGCTAATCCAAGAACAATCAGATCACGAATGCCATCTGCAAGGCAAGAGGAAAGGAGAGGTGGGAGAAGAGTAATCAGCAGAGCAGGAAGAAGGAATGGGAGGACTGGCAGGCACCAGATCTGTAAGTGATGGAGGAGGAGAGGATAGGCAGAAACCAGGGAGAAACAGATCCCCTTTAAATCATATTAAAGTGCTGCTGCCTGCTCCTAACAATATAATGCTGGTGATGTCAAAAATGTAGAAAATCAGCCGGCTCAGAACAATCACCAGTAAATGCCTGTTCAAGAGCCTTCTCAACCTGTTAATGCCCAAGCAGTGCATAATCAAGAGCCTCCAAATGAGGACTCTCCCTAACCTATTCCACAGGGAGCTCAGGGGGACGATGACCAAGAGGAATGCAGCATTTGCTTTGGTACGTATGACTATGCTGAGTATTTTATGCTGCTGCACTGTAGTCATAGATTACATATGGAGTGCATACTGATGTGGCTGCAGGGACACTGGACTTGTCCCCCGTGCAGGGCAGAAATTAGATCAACATTCAGCAAAATGTCTGACTGATGTGATTTCAACCTGCAAAACAGGTATGTACCTTCTAAAATTATACCTGTACCTTATTTACCTTCTAGAAAAAATAGAGAGAGAGAGTTTATGATAAGTCATGATTATATGATTTTATATAAGTTACTATAATACAGGATAAAAATAAAGGTATAGTGTCTGTACACTCAATTTAGTTCAATCAAATAATCCTTCCAATTAAATCTAAGATTCCGTTCCATTCTCAGTTTATACTGATATGGCTGGAGGAGACTTCCACTTATCCCGACTGCATAGCTGAAATAATTATGTGAGGCAAAATTATGTATAGCGTCTGTACACTCAGTTTGGTTTACTTACCATATATACTCGAGTATAAGTAGAGTTTTTCAGCACATTTTTTGTGCTGAAAAACCCCCACTCGTCTTATACTCGAGTCAGTGTCTGTATTATGGCAACTTACATTGGCATAATACAGATCGGGACCGCCTGTTGTCCTGTCTTGTTGGGGGCTGGCAGCGAGCTGTAACTTACCTTCTCTGCAGCTCCTGTCAGCTCCCTTCTCCTCCACTAAGTCTCGCGAGGGTTACCGTGGCAACACTCCGCGCGGCCCTCAGACCGCGAGACTTACAGTGGAGGAGAAGGGAGCTGACCGGAGGTGAAGGGAGCTGACAGGAGCTGCAGGAAATGTAAGTTACAGCTCGCTGCCAGCCCCCCTCCTACACAGCCCATCCACTGGACCACCAGGGAATGAGAGCCACCCTCCCTGGCCATGTATCAAGCAGGGAGTGGGGACGAAAATAAATAAAAATTTTAATATATTAAAATAATTAAAAAAATAAAAATGCCCACCCCCCACCAAGGCTCTGCATCACACACACACACACACTCTGTAAATAAATATTCAATTAATGTAATTTTTTGGAATCTAATTTTATTTAGAAATTTACCAGTAGCGGCTGCATTTCCCATCCTAGTCTTATACTTGAGTCAATAGGTTTTCCCAGTTTTTTGGGATAAAATTAGGAGTCTCGACTTATATTCGAGCATATACGGTAAATAATCATTCCAATTAAATATTTCATTACATTTCATTCTCGTGTCTGCAGGAGAGTTCTACCTGTCCTAACAAAGAATCAGGTGAGTGAACATGCACCAAAATTAACAAGACGGCTACAGGAAAGGTGAGCATGTCCTGATTTTAAGCTGCAAAATGTTATGTACCCTTCAGGGTGATTTTAAGCTGCAAAATGTTATGTACCCTTCAGGGTAGAAGCGTCCAAATGGTGGATCTTCAGATCTTTTAAACTACAGCTTCCATGATGCTTTGTCATTCTAAAGTCATACAAAGCATCATGGGAGTTGTAGTTCTGCAACATCTGGGGATCTACCTTTTGGCCCCCCCTTCTCTTGAGTAAAGGGGGTTTCCAAGCACCATGACCACTTCAGTGATTTTAAATGGTCTTGGTGTTCGGAGTCTGTATGCGCAGTGTTTGGCTGAGAAAGCATGCTGATGACAGACAACCAATAGCGGCATAGTTCCAACTGTACCACCTAAATCCTCCCCTCAGCCTGTCCTCACACATTCCTCCCCCTGCAGTGAGGGGGATTGAGGTCATCAAAGGAGGATTGGGTTAATAGAGAACTTGGTCTCTGCATGGGATAGAATGAAAACCTGCTAATTTATGGTGTATTTTATTCTCATTTACTATATTGGTTTGTTGTTTCCTTTAGAATCTACCTGTGAGCTCAACAATATGACGCAACAGGGACAAAACATGATACGTGCAGGATAAAATGAAAGATTAACATTACTCAACTATTGTTTAAAGGTGACATGTATTATACCAAAGTGTAGTTTTGTAATTTAAAAAAACAAAACACGAGTGATATTAGGTTTCATATTATTAGTGCACATTATGTAAAAGACCCCTCCATGCTCCAATTCATTACAATTTACTGAAGTGTTGAGAACTGTTCCCCTGTTATTTATTTAGGTGAAAAGAGTAATTTGACAAAATATAGAGCACTCACTGCAGCAACAGAATGCAAAACGTTCACTTAATCCATGTAAATCTGTTCAGGTTTTAACAATGATGAGCTGCACAAGCTTTGCGATTGATTTGGTTTACAATATTCATGGATGTCAAAACATGGATTCCCCTATGAACCACTAAAATGGACACTTTATTCACCAGAACCAATAAGTTTAATGTAGTTGTTCTGGTGTCTATAGTCTGTCCCTGCAGGTTGTGCACTGTAAATGCTGCCCTCAGAGAAAATGCAGTGTTTACATTATTGTATGGTAACACCTCTAGTCTCAGTCACTCAGATGACCACTAGACGTGCTTCATGTGTTAGTGCTGCACTGGCGTTCAGCATCTCCACGCATGGAGATGCTGAACTTTCCCCATAGAGATACACTGATTCAATGCAGTTCTATGAGCAGATGCTGATTGGAGCAGTGCGTAATTTTGCCACGCATGCGCAATAGCATCCCACTGCTTTCCATTGGATTGAATGAGATCATCAAATCTGATTATTTCAGCCATGGAGGCAGGGCCAGCAGAGACGGGCCTGGCATGGCGTGGGAGAAAAGGTGAGTTTAAACACCTTTTCAGAGTGATCCAAGGAGACCCAGAGACCGAAGTATTTAGTTTAACACTATATAGTGTCAGGAACACATTTGTATTCATGAGACTATAGTGTTCCTCTAAGGACCACATGATTATCTTTGCCATTGTGCTGTTCATGGCTTAAAGCAGCCCAGTAAATGTACCAGCCTGGGTTAAATCCCTGTTGGTACCAAGGAACCCCAGGTATCTCAAATGGAGTGCTGCAATCTGGGATTTAAATGGGTAGTTAAATCAACATAGACAACAATGCATTGTGGTCAGGGTTAAATCCCTGCTCACACCAGGAAACCCAGGTATTAATGGAAACATTTTTAGCAGCCCCAGACTGACAGGTAAACTGCATGTAGAGGGATTTAACACCCCATAGACTAACGTAATGTAAGGAGGCTTAAACCTCACACCAAAAAAAAAAAAAAAGGGATGCATCATTGGATACCTGGGGCTCCCTTCTGCCAGGTAGGGCATTTTTTTAGTGGCCCCAGACTTTGATGAGCAGTATGTAGTGCTGAAAGTCAACACTGCATATAGCCCTTTAAATCAATAGAGAATACTGCAGTTGAACAAACTAGCACAGCCACAATGATTCTCTCACTGGATCTGGTGATTAGGAGATCCCCAGAATCTGAAGTGTACCTGGTGGGTATCCCTCCATGCCCCAATGGCATTTTGATCAGTGCTTGGCTTTGTCAGGTGCCTAGCACTAAACGCAATGCATTGAGCATCCTAAATTCAATGCATATAAAGCAGTCATACCGAACATATCCAGTAGATGGCAGTAACACACCACTCCGTTTTAGCTTCAAATTCCCTTTGCCAATATCCGTACGAATATAAGCAGAGGCAAACCTTTGATATTAGGATTAAATTATGGATTACGACTAAGTTTCCACTAAATATTAGTCTTAGTTTCAAATATATTACTAGGTATATATTCAAGATGGGTTAAGAACTAATTTTAGGATTGGGATTAAGGTCAGCAATAGAATCCACCTCTACTGAAATCAGCAAGAGAATTCCTCTGCTGACATCAACAGAAGGAATCTTTCTAACACTATTTATAGGATTAAGATTAGGATTAAAGGACCACTATAGTGCCAGGAAAACAAACTCGTTTTCCTGGCACTATAGGGTAATTAGGTCCCCCCCACACCCTCATGGCCCCCCTCCTGCTGGGCTGAAAAGGTTAAAACCCTAAAAACCCTCTGGGCTCCCTCTGTGCTGGGAACTCTCCTCCTCCTGCCGATGTCATCTCTGAATGCGCATGCGCGGCAAGAGCCGCGCACGCATTCAAATAGCCCATAGGAAAGCATTACTCAATGCTTTCCTATGGACGTCATCGTCTTCTCACTGATTTTCATAGTGAGAATGTCAGTGAGACAGCCACTAGAGGCTGGATTAACCCTCAGTGTAAACATAAGCAGTGTTAAAACTAGAGGGAAATGGCACCCAGACCACTTCATTGAGCTGAAGTGGTCTGGGTGCCTATAGTGGTCCTTTAAGGTTAGAACTACAATTAAAATTGGGGTTTGGCAGTCTTTACATGTTTCATTTACTTCATCTCTTGGGGTAAGGGTTAGGATTAAGGTTAGGTTTATTATTAGATTTAAAGTTAGATTTGGATTAGAATTAGGATTTGGTTTAGGATTAACGTTTGTACACTGGGATTAAAATTAAGTTGTTAATTTGCAAAAGTATACACACACATATACCTATTGTAGGAGATGTTGCTGTGTATAGGTAAGATAATGTTATTACAATTTATTTTTTTTTTTTAAAGGATTAAAATACAATGTATATGTGAAATAAAAATCAATAAAGCTCTAAATAAAACATGTGAGTCACCATGGGGAACACTTTTGGAAATGGTATGCATTTATGGAGTAAATATGTGAGCTACTAAAATTCCCCAAAATGCATCACAGACCAATCTTAAAGGACCACTATAGTGCCAGGAAAACATACTCGTTTTCCTGGCACTATAGTGCCTGTGTGTGCCCCTACCCTCAGGCACCCCCTCCCGCCCGGCTCTGGGGAGAGGAAAGGGTTAAAATTGACCTTTTTTTTCCAGCGCCGGGTGGGGCGCTCTCCTCCTCTCCTCCCTTTCAGCTGAATGCGCATGCGCGGCAGGAGCTGCGCGCGCATTCAGCTGGTCTCATAGGAAAGCATTCATAATGCTTTCCTATGGACGCTTGCGTGTTCTCACTGTGATTTTCACAGTGAGAATCACGCAAGCGTCTCTAGTGGCTGTCAATGAGACAGCCACTAGAGGATTTGGAGGCTGTATTAACCCTAACATAAACATAGCAGTTTCTCTGAAGTGGTCTGGGTGCCTAGAGTGGTCCTTTAATTGATAAAAAAAAAAAAAAAACACAATGGGCAGGTTATCCATTCAGCACTGTATTTTCACAAATACTTGGCAACGGTCATTCTGGGCCCAGGAGATATAGCTGAGCACAATTTAGTGATTTGTATTACAGTAGCACATATGAAGTTACAAAATAAACTGCTAAATTGCAATGTGCACGTAAAAAAAATTAGAAAATCAAAAATACTGTAAACTTTGAAATAAATTAATGCTAAAAGAGCCATATATAAGAAGACTGAAAATATACCTTACGACATACTCAGTGGTGTCTAATTTCACAAATATTACGCATTATGAGGGGATTTGCACTGTGGAACTGCTACAAGGTCCAAAAATTATGGAATAGTCCCATCAAATTCATCAATGAAAATTATTTTTGTAAAAACTTTAGTCAGGTCTCTTATACGGCACTGTAACTTTGCAAATAAGTGCCAAAGGCATACATTGGGGTTGTTGCTCTGTTCAGAAAAGTTTGCCAAACATAATTTGAGGGGTTTGATCACAAGGGTACAGATCAGATTTCAGAAATGGGTAGCTAAATTGTACATAAAAAAAAAAAAAAAGGCAAAAGTTTTTTTTATCACAAACTGACAAACTGGCAAAAAATGTCAACACACTAAGGCACAATATACACCATATGAGATACCCTGGAATGTCTACTTTCACAAATGGTAGGCCTTTGTGTGGTAATTTCAACAGTCAAACTGCAATAAAACCTCAAAATGAGACGTAGACCTATCAAATCATTCTCTAAAATTCTAACTGTAAAAACTGAAATGGTCAGCTCTCATATGACACTAACTTTACAAGATAGTTGCAAAAGGCAGTCATTGGGGATATTATTGTACTGAAAGATGTAACTAAACACAATATGGGGTTTGGTACAGTATAGAGAGCCTTGCTGCAAGAAAGTTTACAAGGTAAGCTGAACACAGAAGTGGAAAGTGATAAACAGTAAACTTCTTAAAAACCTATGGTTTGAAAATTTACTGTGTTGGCTGTCCTGTCTCCTGAACCACTACAACATGCTGTAATGGCTGTACTGCTTTAAAAATGTGTGGATTTGCCAACACACACAGCTAGATATAGACAGATATTACTTATTCAGGACATGCCTGTTTGTGTCATGAATGCTCCTCAGCACTACCACTAAATGACCGACTTCTCACATGATTCCGCAGTTGCTGGATTAGCTCAGGATTTTGCTGCTGTATCTGTTGAGCAAATTGCTGTCCTCTGTATGGAAAAAAAAGAAGAAGTTTACATTAATGGGGATTATGAAAACTATAATATTGATTATAGTGAACTTAAAAAAAATGAACAGCATAATGTAAGCTAAAATTGCAAGTTCATATCTATTTCTATATCCACGGCTTGGATTTTACAATTCAGATAGATGTCAGTATTGGTTTAAAGGCTTCAGTTAAGGCTACAATCAAGGATTGTTTAAGCACTGGGGGTCATATTTATCTATAGCACTTTATGAAATTTGAAGAAGCCACATTATTAGAGTATTTTGGGGAGTAAAGGTTGCCATTTTCCTATTTCAGGAATGGAAAATACCTTCATAAAAAAGTAACTACCACCAAGAACTTTGAAAACATTCAGCAACAACAATTTCCATTCCCGACGAAGGCGCCAGTGTGAACCAAAACACGTGCCAAACTTTATTTCACAAACATGTTTATTTTGGGGTGATGTGAAGATTTTTATTTACCAGAAAATGTGGTTCATTCAGATTAATACAGCTTCACTGCTAATTTGTATATCAAGCACTAGTGAGGTATTGAGATATATATTTATATAAAATCTCTCCAAACATTTTGCAGAGACGTACCTACAGCCATATAACATACATAAAAATTTTTTGAGGATGCGAATATCCAGAGGTGTGGGTTAAGAATGCCCCAATGTCACTTTAGAAGTCACATTATTATGATTAATTATACAACACACTTGCCACTTTGACTATAATGTTACACTTATGTGAGATTATATATTTTCATGACACAATCCAAAATATCTTTGTTTTATATCAAGTGCTTATTTATGGCTCACTCAATTGAGTATTATGATTGATCTATTTGAGTACACTTCAACACTTTTTTCTACACGAGGCACCATTTTTTATCTGAATATAGTGTAAGTATTGGGACTCTTTGCTACCACCTATATGAGGATGTATTTTTCAATATTGCACATCCACTTTAGTTTTTCACATCTTAAATATCTTTTTTTTTTTTCTCTCTCATCAATGTTTTTTCAGTCTGGCTGCCCAGGAGCGTTCCAGTTGTTATGGTACCATGTGACAACTTGGGAAGCTATGTCACGTGTATAACCCGGAAGTCCTTGCACATGCGCAGACGCGACCGGAACACGCCGGGCATTCAGCTGAAAGAGCATCAGCTGGACAAGTGAGTACTTACTCTATTAGATTCCCTATAAAGCCATTCACTGTTTATGTGTCATTTGTGTCCTGATGAAAGCTCCATTGAGGAGCTGAAACGTTGACTGTTCATGGAATAAAGGGAAGACTTATTTAACCCCTTCATGACTGAGTCAATAGTGCACGTTCTGATCAAAACAAAACGTAAAAAAAAACTGGAATTTGCGCTATATGTCTGTTAAACCGTAATTCACCGCTGTCACATTAAGTGCACTCACACTTATATATCATTTTGTTCGGGAGAAACAGGGCTTTCATTTATCATTAACTATTCATATATGAAACATAATTTATTATGAATAAAATTTTAAAAATGTGAGAAAATAAGATTTTTTTTTTTAAATTTGTATTTCCGTCTGACATTTTATGAATCTCATAATACGGTTAGGTTTTACTGCAAAAAAATTTGCCAGATTAGTAATGTTACCTTTGAGACTGTGTGGTAGCCCAGGAAGGAGAATCACCCCCATAATAGCATACCATTTGAAAAAGTAGACAACCCGAGGTATTGAAAGTGGGGTATGTTTAGTCTTTTTTAGTAGCCACTTAGTCAGAAACACTGTCCAAAGTTAGCATTCATATTTGTTTTTGTGTGGAAAAAAAGCAAAAAACTAATATTTGGCCAGTGTTTGTGACTAAGTGGCTACTAAGAAAGACTGGACATACCCCACTTGCAATACCTTGGGTTGTCTACTTTTGCAAATGGTATGCCATCATGGGGGTAATTCTCATTCCTGGGCTACCATACGCTCTCAAAGGAAACCTAACCAATCTGGCAAATTTCAATGTCAAAAAAATGAAATGCAAGCCTTATATGTGACTAACTTTCTAAAACACCATAAAACCTGTACATGGGGGGTACTGTTATTCTCGGGACACTTCACTAAACACAAATATTAGTGTTTTAAAACAGTAAAACATATTACAACAATAATATAGTCCATAAATGTACCGTTCATTTGTACAAAAAAAATAAAAATAACTTTTACTTAAAATATCATGTTGTAATACAATTTACCAGTTTGAAACACTAATATTTGAGTCCAGCGAAGTCTCCCGAGTAAAACAGTACCCCCTATGTACAGGTTTTTGTGGGGTCTTTGAGAGTTACAGGGTCAAATATAGTGCTTGCAAGTTAAATTCTCTGCACTTTCTCCCTGTGTTGTCAGGCATGTCAATCAAATTTTAATTAATCAAATCACATAATTATGTTAAAAGATTACTTAAATATACACGTAGAGTTTTAATATATATGCATTTATAGGTATTTAAATTCTACATGTATACTAATGTAATCTTTTATGTATGTAATTATATGTATTTATCTCTCTCTATATTAAATATATATATTTGTATTTTATATATAGATAGATATAGAATGTCATTCTAAGTGTATTTTGTTACATATATATTAACAAAATACAGTTAGAATGAAATTACATATGAATATATAATTTATATTAAATTTTATTTCAATAATTTATTAATTTTATTATTTTATTATTGTAATATCTATTATATATATATGTAACGTCATTCTAAGTGTATTTTAATACGAATATATGTACTTATATTAATATTAAAATACACTATGTATGACGTTACATATACACACACACACACACACATATAATATAATATAGATATACATATTATATGTTTATAAATATATTTATTTTAGAACAGGTCTAATTTTTTTTTTTTTTTTTACTTTCCCACCAGCAGGGGGACTGTCTGACATTTTAGACAGTCCCCCTGCTGGCAGATCCACACCCAGCTATAGGGGGCCATGTGATCGCTCTTTGAGAGCGATCACATGGCCCCCTGGGGCCTCATTTGCCGTGGGAGGACTGCCTTGGCTGTGAGGCAGTCCTCCCGAAGCGGAGCGCCGGGTAGGTAAGTATCCCGGGTGCTCCAGGGTTCAAAGCCGTTACGGCGTTCTATGCCGCCGCAACGGCTTTAAAGCCCAATTAAAGCGGGACGGCATAGAACAGTGTGAAGGGGTTAAGATCAGCATTCCTTACCTATCCTGCAACTAGATCTCATTTACTTTAGAGAAACAGGGGTTGATAGTATTTCTTTGTGAGCAGCTACTGTTACAATTCTATTGAAAGTTCATCTCTATGCAGATACGGTGTTATACTCCATTTTATACGTACTTTAATAAGTACATATTTTTTTTCAGTCCACAGTTTGAATCTTCACTAGTGGCTAAATATTGTTGGCCTTATGGCAACCATACCTATTGAGTGAGAGATTGAGACTTTTATACATAGGAGATTCAGACAGAACAATCTCCCTTGATTCCCTATTCAGCCTTTATTTAATCTATTCCCCCACTAGATCTAATTTACTTTAGAAAAATAGGTGTTGATAATATTTTCTTTGTGAGCTATTGTTATAATTCTACTAAAAGTTGTATTTCTATTTAGATACTGTGTTATACTCCAATAGATAGAAAGTTTCACACCTTGGTTACATTGTTTAGTCTGATTACTAGTGATTAAATTGGATTAGCCTGATAGCAGCTATACCCAATTAGAATTAACCCTTGATCTAGTCCGATATTTAGACATTATTCCTCCAACATCTTCTTTTGTACAGAGAGATGCACAGTTCAATTATCACTACACTTTTTTTTTTTTAATTGTCTTTCATTTTTGTTTTCTTGCTTATTGATTACTTAATACGTTTAATTAAAGCAATGTTTTTCCATTTAGTCAATTTTTGAAGTTAGGGCCCATTTTGGGGCTAGAACGTATTTGTAATTCTATTCCCTGTAGTGTTACCTATCTTTCTGCTTACCTTTACTGTCTCGGAACACTGCATTTCAAGTTCTGTGAATGAATGGCTAATAACAAATACGTATTTAATATCATTCTGCTTGCTGCTGTATTTTTATACATCTTTCTATAATTCAATAGCCTAAAATCTCAATATATACCAGATTTTCCCCCCATAGTAATGTGAGCATATTTAATTGTACATCATTTTACAATATTGCTTTTTTTTATTTTTTTTTAACTGATGAAGACCCAGGGATTATTCCAATAAATGTTTCTATGTTGGAAGAACATACTTACGCTTGTATGAGACTTGAAAGATCAGTTAATCCCCCAACACCAGCTGCTGGACCGCCTGCGGCATTGGACATCATTCCTGACATCCTGCAACATAAACACATAAATAATGTTACTCCAATCTTTTCTGAACTTGTCCTTGCACTGAGCAATCAGATTACACTACATTAGATACAAACTCTGTACTAGCAGTGTTAGTGCAGACATGTGCAGTCAGATCACCTACATTATCAGAACAGGCAGTGCAGGGTTTGTATCGAATGAATAAGTATTGTGACCATGCATTATGCGGAGGTGACATATGAGTTCTCAGTTGATTCCAACTTCCATGAAAAACCACTCTGCTTCATATCTTCAACATTAAAAATCCCTAACAGCTTCACTGTGCGTACATGTCTGTTTACCCTTATTTTGCACAGGTAGATCACTTTACAACGCATTTTGCAGAACAGATTTGCAAATTTTGGGAAACCCCCCCCCCCAAAAAAAAAACCACACTTGGGGAAAAAGAAAACGAATTCAACAGATTTCTAGAATGGTTTTCAACTCTGCCAGTCCAATTCTGGTCACAGAGAAGCACTGAATCCAATGTTTCTTTACGAGAATAATTGGAGGCATTTCGCGTCCTCATATCGTGCATGATGAAGCTGAATGAGATCACCTTTGAAAATCAAAAGTCTTCAACGAGGAAGTGCTTTTAGTGGAAATGATAATGTTTTACATAGGCAGAAAACTGTGATAGGCCATTAAGATGAAGTGGTTTTGTGCGAACAGTATCCCTTTAATTTATATTCATTTTTGGGGGAAAAATTACAAGACAGATTTTGAAAATTAATGGATTAAGACTTCAAAATCAGTAAACAGATCTTATCATTGAAAACTAATTTCTTCAAGAAAGCATATCAATTAAACTGTTAGCAGGTTTTTATCCCCCACCCCCCATGACTCCTCTTTTCCAACTGTCAAAAATTACCTATGAAGCCCTCAGTGAATACTTTTCTAACAGCCTACTTCATACCCCTACTTTTACCCTTTGTGTCACTATACCCCACTCCCTTTAGAATGTAAGCTCATTGAGCAGGCCCTCCACCTCTCTGTTCCTGTATGTCCAATTGTCTGGTTACAACTATATGTCTGTTAGTCCACCCATTGTACAGCGCTATGGAATCTGATGGCGCTATATAAATAATAATGATTTATGGAGGATTTAAAATATAAAATAAAAAATAAAAAAATCAGTAAGTTCATCAGTCACTAGAGGGCGCTAAAATTATTTGCATGCGGAAAAAAAATACAAAACTCAACTATTGATAAGAAGACTTATGCACTCAAGTGTCTATTACTAGGAATTCAAAGTGAATTTTAAATTTTTAATCCAAACTGAAAACGCAATGCCCTACAATACGTAGTTGATGGAATAAACCAATTTGAATACTAAAAAACAAAGTGATTTTGCACACATGCCCTTAACATGACATGAGTAGCACTCAACAGGGGTTCCTTGGACAGACCGAAGGAAATTTTTTAAAATCAGTTATTGAAGACATCCAAATCTTCCACAACGTTCTCTTTTCCATTATATGGAACGCAACAAAAATATACTTTGTGGCAACCTTGTTAGAGACACCTGTCTAGTATTTATTGTAGCAGAGAGAGGATTCTACCTGGTACTAGAGTTCTTTACTGCACAATTCTGGATGCATTCTTGTGTGGATTATGGTCCATGCAGACTTGGTAGCAATACATTACACAATTGTTGAAGAATTTCCAGCCATGCATTTATGCTGGATAACTTTGAATCTTATCCCAAAGGAGCGCTAATGGATCTGGATACTTTGTGGGAAAAACCTGAAGTTGGTGTATTTTATAATGTATGTCTTTATTGTTATGGGAAAGTGGGAGGGGGAGGGGGGGACTGTAGTAAATCATTAGAAAAAATATAATGCAATAAGAAGATATATGCAAAACAAAGTAGGGACTATGAATAGCTCATGCAGAACATGGAGCCTCCAATTAGAGCGAGGTTCAGGTAAGTACATCTCTCTCCCCCTCTCAATACGGGAATCACCACGAGAGATGTGTTACCTGTAGAATGTTTCCAAACAAATGCAAAAATCCCACAATGGACTACATAGCTTTACTTCCAAAATATGTGGGACCTTCAACTGGCATACATGCATTACAGGGAATAAGCAAACATAAGCTTAGCTAATTTAAAGTTGTTTTAATTTTTTTTTGTTTTTAATTTGTTTTGTTTTTTTGGCTGGTATTCTATAGTTTGTCCATATCTTTCTGAATGGCCAACAGACATAGAAAAAGGATTAATAGCTGCTGCATTATACAGGTCAATAGGACAATTTGTCTCTGTATCACATGGATGTGGATCCCAGATGTTGGTATGAGGCCCATCATCTCTAAAGGTTCTAAGAATATTTTGAGGCAACAGTATGTAAAAATGGCCAGTAGAACCTAGGAGTTTCTGTATATATTGTATAACCCAAGGCACTTGATGTTTTTGTTCTGTGGTTGTGAATGGATTTGGTCACATACTTATGCACTTAATGAGTAAGAAAAAGTCAAATGCATTGTGTATAAAGGAAAAGAATAAGAAAAAGGAAAATAAAATACACACACACACACAAAAAATATATATACACAATTGCCCTGTGGTATAGTAAAAGCGTAACAACCACATGTAGTGCAACATACAAATTGTTTTGAGCTCTTCCATAGAGCTATCTTAGGGTTAGCATGTATGCTAGACTTTTGTACAGTGGGTTCTAATAAATGAACAGAAGAAACAGAATTAAAACTTATAGCCCACATTGGGTCTCATGTTTTTACCCCTCTATGAGTGCCAAGTAGCAACTTGAGACAACTGCACAGCTAGTACCTAGTGTTGAGACAGTTGCCTGTCTCACGGTCTTCAAAACACATGGTAGCACAAAGAAAAACATAAAATGTGAGGGAGACAAACGAGTAAAAAAACAAACAAAAAAAAACCTCAGACAGGGGACTTTATAGTCCTTCAGTGGTATCCCCTGCTTTCTTCTAACAATGCATGAGGCTGCTTTCTGGTCATTTTGTAGAACCTTTATGTTCCACATGGACAAAAGCTCGTACCTCTCTTTAGCGGCGGACACTGGTTTATCCATTCAATTTCTCCAAATTACTAGTCCCACTGTTTGAAAGGTTGGAAAAATATTTGATATTATTTCAGTAAAAATGAACCCAGGGTTCGATGCTGGTGTGTACCTTAGGTTGGTAATACAGTGGACCCTGTCTACTAGTTGCTCCTGAGAAGAGATTCAGGTATCAAGGCCTGAAACTGATGACATACAAACTTTGGTAGGAACAGTTTTATTTTCTCCGAAATGCTCCTCAGGTGGATATTGTTATGCCTAGCTCTGTCTTCACAGTCTGCTATTGTAGCCTTGAGCTTCAGTAGCTTGTTATCTAATATTTGTAGGCATCCGACAAGGTATTATGCAGATCTATTCTCTAAGCAGTCATGGTCTCTAGATGAGCAGTTTGCTCCCTTAACCCCTTAAGGACACGACATGTGTGACATGTCATGATTCCCTTTTATTCCAGAAGTTTGGTCCTTAAGGGGTTAATGGGAAACTATAGTGCAAGGAAGACAAAGTTGTTTTCCCAGCACTATATCAATGCCCCCACCGATGCCCCTCCCCAATGGATCCAGCTCTGCCTCTGCTCCTCCACCGTCAGCGGCCAGAAGACCTAAAGCACATGCAATTGCAGTAGGACTATTTTTCAATGTTTTCCTATGGGGTACTAGAGGACACTGGTTATCCTCATGCAGGGCATGAGGAAGTCCAACGTCAGGTAGGGGACCAAAAGTCATCTAACCACCCGGAAGTGCCTCTAGTGGTGGTCTGGTAGCCCTGCAAGGTAATTATTAACCCTGCAAGGTAATTATTAGTTTATTAGTAACTGCGATAATTACAATTGCAGGGTTAAGGGGAATGAGACTGTGCACCCATACTACTTCAATGAACTGATCTGTGTGCCTATAGTATCCCTTTAATGCCTGGATATACATCCTGACATCTTTGGCCAATTGGTGGAAATTTGCTCTTTTGAGTCATCTGCACATCATTGAGCATTCTTTGCATGGATGTTTTAGTAGCTTTGTCAGGTTACCTTGTGTATCAGTCAGGGGCATGTCACAGGCTGGCATCACATTGCAGGGTATTGAGGACACTCCTACCAACTTGTCCCCCATTCAGCTTGTCCCCAGCGATTCTCACGCCAGCCACGATAACCCTGCCTCCTTTTATGATGCGGCTAACTAGCACTGACGTCATGACGCTAAGAACACCACAGCCCGCCAAGGTGTTCGAACGAGAACATATTGGGGGCGTGGCTACCTACCTACCTAATTGAACAAGGTATTTAACGAGAAACCAGGGAGAGACTCATTGCCCTGTTGTGGTTCTTGATAGACACAAGAGCGCGTATCTCGTATTGGTATTCTTGTATTCTGACTTTGGCTTCGTTTGACTGTTCCCCCTTCTGTGTCCCTTTGACCTCGGCTTTTGCATTATCACTGATCCTGATTTCTGGTACCCCTGACCTTGGCTCGCTATTGACTATTCTTTGTGTGTGTAGTGTTAGTCCGGCCATCCTAAGGTCCAGTATACATTACTAGTATTTGCATTCTGAGTGTAGGATCCCCGAACATTCCTGACAAGCTTGTGCCGATTGTTGTCGAGATACTGAAGTTATGCCACTCCTGTCTGAGCCAGTTGCTGGTAAAGAGGGCTTCTCTGCATCATCTTGGCTTCTGACATGCGGTGGAGAAAGAGTCTCAGTTTGGAGAGCAAAAAACGGGTTGCAAGAGTATTCTGAGAACGGACAGCAGCTGAAATAGCCTGCCCTTCGGTGGGTCCCCGCTCAGAACTCAAGCTGGTTTTAGCTCATCTTGTGCCATTACAGAGAGAACATATCTGAAGCATATCAGACTGGTCCCACCCATACGGGCAGTCCAAATCCGAAATGCCAGCAAGTTCTCTCTGCACGAGAGATACAGCAACCCCAGACGATCGTTTCAACCTTGTTAGGCATCAACACCGAAGGGGAGGCTATTTCAGCTGCTGTCCGTTCTCAGAATATTCTTGCGACCCGTTTTTTGCTCTCCATAAGTTTAAAGGGTAATCCAGACGTGGACCCCTTGCTCAAAGTGCCTAGAGAGATATCAGCTACGCCTCACTGATGATGCCAAACAAGGCTGAAACGACCGTCTGGGGTTGCTGTATCTCTCGTGCAGAAAGAACTTGTTGGCATTTCGGATCTGGACTGCCCATATGGGTGGGACCAGTCTGATATGTTTCAGAAATGTTCTCTCAGTAATGGCACAAGATGAGCTAAAACCAGCTTGAGTTCTGAGCGGGGACCCAACGAAGGGCAGGCTATGTCAGCTGCTGTCCGTTCTCAGAATACTCTTGCGACCCGTTTTTTGCTCTCCATAAAGACATCAGTTTAACTTTGTTGTTTTTAGATTTGTTCGCCATGTAGAATGTCCAGAGGAGCTAAAATTCTAGGCATCCGGCGCTATTCAATCAGACCATGCCCCCCTTTTTAGTAATATTTTAAACTTACTTTACACATTTTTATCTCATGCTCTGAAACTTTAATCTCACACACACACACACGAGGCGCCTGCAGATTCTAGAAGGCTACTAACAGAGCAGGAGATAAGAAATTCTAAATTAAACAGAATTTGCAATAAAGGAAGTTTAAACATTAGATCTCTCTTTAACAGGAAGTGTTTAGGAAGGCTGTGTAGGTCACATGCAAGGAGGTGTGGCTAGGGCTGCATAAATAGAAAGACAAATGACAACTCTTAACCCCTTAAGGACAGAGGATGGTTCAGGACCGTCATCGGTATTTTTGCATTGCTGACCGGTGACTGTCTTGAACCGTCCTAACGGTCTTATGTACTTACCCGATCGCCATCGTTCCCCCGGCGGCGATCGGTGTTGCTCCCGGTGTGGGGAGACTGCCTGCAGCCCAGACAGTCTCCCCATGGCGGATTAGGACCCCTGGGGCCATGTGATCGCTCAACACAGCGATCACATGGTCACAATAGGTGTCTGCCTGCAGGGGGACTGTCTGTGCTGACAGGCAGTCTCCCTGCTAGTGTAAAATAAAAAATAAAAATAAAAGTTAATGTTAATTAAAAAAAAAATTATATGTTTATATAAATATGATATACATACATATTTATTATATCTGTATAATATGTCTATATATATATATATCTATATATATGTCATACTAAGTGTATTTTTATAATAATATGTACATATATTAATATAAAAATACACATAATTAAAATATATCATATATATATATATAACAAATAAATAATTTAAATAAAAAAAAATGTAAAAATATTTTTTTTTGAAATTATATATCTATATGAAATTTTATTCTAACTGTATTTTGATATTAATATATACATTTATATTTCGTATTATTTTTATTTATATATACATAGATATATATATAATTTCATTCTAAGTGTATCTATGTATATATATATATATATATATATATATATATAAATAAAAATAATACGAAATATACATATGTCCATATACAAAATTACATAATTATATAAATATACACGTAGACTTCAAATATATAAATATGCTTATATATTTAAATTCTACGTGCGTATTTATGTAATATTTTTACATAATTAAGTAATTTTATTGATTGCAATTTGAGGGACCTACCTGCCAACCCAGGCCGAAAGTCCAGAGAATTTAATTTGCTAGCACTATATTTTACCCTGTAACGTTCTACGACACCCTAAAACCTATACATGGGGGGTACTGTTTTATTCGGGAGACTTCGCTGAACACAAATATTAGTGATTCAAAACAGTAAAACATATCACAGCGATGATATTGTCAGTGAAAGTGACTTTTTTTGCATTTGTCACACACAAACAGCACTTTTACTGATGATATAATTGTTGTGATACGTTTTCCAGTTTTGAAACACTAATATTTGTGTTCACCAAAGTCTCCTGAGTATAACAGTACTCCCCATGTACAGGTTTTATAGCGTTTTTGAAAGTTACCGGGTCAACTATATGGGTCAAATATTTTTACATTAAAAATGGCCAGGTTGGTTACGTTGCCTTTGAGAGCGTATGGTAGCCCAGGAATGAGAATTACCCCCATGATGGCATACCATTTGCAAAAGAAGACAACCCAAGGTATTGCAAATGGGGTATGTCCAGTCTTTTTTAGTAACCACTTAGTCACAAACACTGGCCAAAATTAGCGTTCAATTTAGTTTTTTACTTTTTTCACACACAAACAAATATGAACGCTAACTTTGGCCAGTGTTTGCGACTAAGTGGCTACTAAAAATGTCTGGACATACCCCACATTGAATACCCTGGGTTGTCTACTTTAAAAAAATATATATATGTACATGTGGTGTGTTATTCAGAGATTTATGACAGATAATAGTGTTACAATGTCACTATTGATAAATTTTAAAAATGTATGTTTTGAAACCGCAATATCCTACTTGTACTTATAGCCCTATAACATGCCAAAAAAATAGCAAAAAAGCATGTAAACACCGGGTATTTTTAAACTCAGGACAAAATTTTGAATCTATTTAGCAGTTTTTTTTCATTCGCTTTTGTAGATGAGTAGAAGATTTTTCAAGTAAAAGTAAAAAATTTTTATTTTTTTCAATTTTTCATCATATTTTGTAATTTTTTTTAAAATTAAATTACATGAGATTATATAAATAATGGTATGTAAAGAAAGCCCATTTTGTCCTGAAAAAAACCAATATATAATTTGTATGGGAACAGTAAATGAGAGCGCGGAAAATTACAGCTAAACACAAACACCACAAAAGTGTAAAAAGATGCCTGGTAACAAATGTAAAACATCGCAAAAACAGTCAGGTCCTTAAGGGGTTAAATGGCTTCATTAGCTAAAGCTGTTTTGGTGCCTATAGTATACCTTTAAGCGATCGTTTGGTATTCGTGAAAAATCTGCTGCTGCATCAGATGTATAATTAAATTACCTGATTATAGTAAAGAAATTATTCTTGTGCATTATAGAGATACTCACATATGCTGTATTTGTGGATCTTGCATTAAGCTTGCTGCCTGTGATAGGGGATATTAAAAAATGGAGATATTAACAACTGACAAAGAGTCTTGCAGTCTGGCTGGTCCTAGCTGCATTAAAAAACAAATTTGTACTTACCGTAAATTTCTTTTTCCAGAAGACTAGAGGCAGTGCTTTGCCACTGGGATTTCATCACCTGGAGGGAAAAAACAGGCAGGCAAACTCCCAAACTTTTCAAGAACCTCCCCCAATTAACCTTTGGACTTATAAATTGCTTCCTACCAAAGACCGAGAAAATTACAAAAGCCAAATAATCGTACCACTCAGACTATAAAAAAATTTGGGGGAGGGGGAGGAAGTGAGCACTGCCTCTAATCTTCTGCAAAAAGAAATTTACGGTAAGTACAAAATTTTGTTTTCCCCTTCAGATTAGAGGCAGTGCTTTACAACTGGGATATCCAAAAGCAATCCCTTAGGGCGGGACTCAAATCTCACTGCAAAAAAACTGCGACCAAAGTTGTATCTTCCAAGGTCAATAGACCAAAATGAGTGAAGAGATCACCTTGTGGTTGTTAGGAATTTGAGAGAATGTATAGCAGAAGCCCTCAGGCAACTAATCTGAACACAACTGATCGAAGGAGCTTCAATGGAGATAGGTGTTAGATAAGAAAAAACCCTAACGAATACAGACCTTAAAAGGTAACGTAGACGAGAACTAAACGCCCAGGCAATGGAATTAGAATTCCAAGACCCTAGAACGTTGTTGGGAAAAGATAGAAAAATAATGTTACATGGAAGATTGGGAAGAATTAAAGAATCCAACGTAACTCCACTTTCTCCTGCTGAAAATGGAAACTTGGGCGACTACCCCCAAAGACCTAGAGTGAAGACTCAAATCAGCAGAGTAAAAAACCCCAAAAGAAGATCCCCTGCGGAAAAATTTCCCTGACGATAGGAACTAACCACGAAAGAGCCTAGCAGATACTGGTGATTTGGAGACAAACCTCTGAAAATCAACTGATAACCGAAATTTGACCTTGAGGATCTCTGGCTTTAAACCTTCTGCACAGCCCATCCAAAGAAAAAAAAAGGTTAAAACTTGGAAGCGGATGCCTGCTTTTCTATGAACCAATATCTTAAAAAAAAACAAAACAAAAAAACCAACACCTTCCATACTTGGAATAAATCTTGGAACAAGATCCATTTATAGTAAAAGAAATTGTCAATAATTTCCTGAGAAAACATTATCCTTCAGTATCTGGTATACATAAACCAGGTCGTCAGCTTGAATTACAACAAATTTGAGAAGCGGTACCCTTGAGAATTACAGGATGCCTATTTACAGGTAAGGTCCCCAAAGATTCCTCCGGATTATTTTTGATGAACGGTGAAACAGCCACTTGCCACCAAGGGAGGAAGACTATCATTCTCACCTTCTCCATCCTATAGGATCTTGGGGAATAGGGAACCAGGAGGAAACTATAGGTTAGACTGGAATTCCCAAGAAAGAAAAGGAAACCAAAGCTTACTGGTCTGTCCAAGCTTGTCCAATGAAACACTTCATGCTATCTGATCTAGAAGTCCTAGTTCCATAACTGGATAATCAAATTCTTCCTATCGTTTAGGTGAAGATCAGGGAGTATGAACCAATCTGCTTTGTATTAAATGTTGACTACTCAATGCTACAGCTAAACAGAGGAATATTAAGTTCTATGCATAAGTGAAAAGACCTAAGAAAAACTAACCCAAGCATATCCTGGAACAAGATTTTTCAAACAAGATGACCTTGTTTGTACGTAATTGCTACCAATGTAGAACTATCTGACCAGATCTGGATAAGATAATACCTGGTCTTTATCTGAAAGGCAAAGCGAGCTAGCCAGATAGCCTTCGGTCCTATGTAGTTGGATAAGTTTTTACAAATTCTCAGCTAATTTCCCTTCAACCCTATGAGAACCTAGCTGAGACCTGAAGCATCAGTCGTAAAATTCTGAACGATCGATTTGAGAACTAGAACGAAAAGTAAGAACCATCTGGCATCCTTCATTTCTGCCTGGTTCAGAAAGGAATGACCGAAGTATAGGATTTTACTGCAAAATCTTATTAGCAACTGTATCTGGCCACTGAAGGACCTGTAAACAGTGCTATGCCTAAAGAAGCTCAAGAGACCAAGCAGGTTCTTACAAGACGGGAACCAATATTATTTCCCTAGTATCTTGTCTACTGAAGTAGAAGAGAGATTTCAGGTGATAAGGACAGAGAGAGAACCACAAACTTTTTCTTCAGGGAATTACCATTCTCTGAGAGTCAAAAACCGTTGTCAAAATATTTACACCTGAACTGTTCCTTGACAAACACCAGAACTGCACACTTTTTGAAAAGGGAATTCTTTATCAGAATATTGATCAGCATCCACCTGTATGCTGTAGAAACATCCTAACCTTTAGGGCTGGTGTACAAAAATTAATTAGGTGCCCCTGAGGAAGCAGTATTGTAGAGATTCAAGAAATTTATGGATGGCAACATTTTTCATAGTGAGAGCATCTCAAGTGGCAATTGCCATAAGCTTTTTCTTAAAAGAAAACTGCAAACAAACCTAGGCAGTAAACCATCCCAGTCATATCGTATCTATTGCAGTGCAGGGAACAAATTGAACTTGGTGGAACTACACCTTGATCAATAGGCCTGCAGCTGTACTAGAACTTGCTTCAAGCCCAGTAACATGAGAAAGAAATAATTTCCCATGGAGACTAGTTCATACAGGTTACCATCTTTATTGGCGGAAGCAAGACTGATTACATAGATATACAGTCTGCATAAGACAATACCCATGATCCAGGCCTAAAATTTAAAACCTGTTTGATGCAAACACTGCAGGAAACAATATTAGGAAGTATTTTCTTTAAATTTTCCATTCCAACAGTCAGTTAGCTCAAACCTATCTGACAACATAGGACTTGGAATTGAAGATAATAAAAATAAAATGTGCAACCATGGAGTGAAGCACAGGAAAGGTTCTGCCGCAACTGAAAAACAGACTGCCTTTTTAGAAACTGATATCAGGTGAAACTAGCTGAGGTGGTGAGAATGCTAATTGCAACAGAGATTTGTCTACAGCAATTGCTAAAAGCCTACTGCCTGTTTAAGAAAATAAGCACTGCGGCTAGGATCCTGGCATTTAAAGAATCCACATGCTACAACAGTATATTAACTTAACCAAAACCAGATTTTAAATATCAGCCTCCTAAGGATAACATACAGAGGATAATCCTCCAATAGTCATACGGGTCTTGCCCCTGTGAATATATTCCACCAAACACTTCTCTTTAATTGTTGACCCTGTTGCAGCAACTAGTGATTTCTGAAACCCATATTAACTAATCACTATGTAGCAGCTATTTTGAGCCAGAAAGGAAACTTACATTTTCCAAATAGAATTAAGTTAAAGTATATGCTTATCTAATACCCTTTATAGGCTTTACTCAAAGAATAATCTATTTTGGGCCCGATCTACTAAGTGCTTACACTTTCAAAGCACTATTTGTTTTAAGATATTAGTAATAATCTTAAAGTGATGAGAAGCTAAAAACCTCTCCAACTTAGAAACATTTGCACTTTTTTAGCTTATCCATCTTGCAGCACAGATAATTAACCAACTTATTCAGGCTAGAGTCATTTAAGATAAAAGCAAAAGGCTTACCTTAAATGTCCTCAGAGTGTGCTGGAGGTTGGTGAGAACACACTTGCAACAGATTCTGAGTGCACCTGGCAACAGTTAGTTGCTGCTGGGTAAACAGCCTCTCTAAGTCCTGGAAACCAATATCTTGACCCCGGAAAGAAAAAATATTAAAGATATTGGTGCTTGAATTTTAAATCGCATTACGCATGTCCTGCATTTCGCGATTCCACGGTGGAAATAAACGTAACCTGTACGAGTGTTCCACCGCCAGGACTTCCCAGCTAGTGCCCAAATGGACACCATCGTCTGCCCGGCACCTGGCTCGGTATAGACGGAAGTAATACAACCCGGGGAGATACAGCCGTCTGGTGTGATATCCCTGGCCGATCTCTGAAAAGTTTATTTAAAAGAAGTAGAGCCTCCAAAGCCTCAGCCCTCTCACCATACTTCTAGGGAGAAAACCTGAACCTGACACCCTCCTCTGCCGGAGGCAGGCAAAGAACTGGGGATGTCTTGGGTAGGAAGCAATTTATAAGGGCAACGGTTAATTAGGGGAGGTTCTTGAAAAGTTTGGGAGATTGCCTGCCTGTTTTTTCTCTCCAGGTGATGAAATCCCAGTAGTAAAGCACTGCCTCTAATCTGAAGGGAAAAAAAGAAATAAAATATATGTGTGGAAATATTATATATATGTGTGTGTATACACACACACACGAACACACACACACACACACACACACACACACACACACACACACACACACACACACACACACACACAATAGAATTTATTATTCCCAAAAAAACAACTATTTGGTAAAATGAAAGTACAGGACGTGTGGAGGCAATATAGAAGAAACACAATCAGTAGGGAAACACATGGTAATAGCCGCCAATAGAAACATAAATTCAAACACAACACATACATGCAAGCATCAACAACTCTGCTCAAAACCTGCACTACAGTGGGATTTACCAGACTTGATAGTGTTGGCTTATTCAGGCACCATGACCCAAGTACTTTTTAATAAGTATGAACCAATTACCCATTTATGGTTCCCAGTCACACTGCTACCCATACCCATTAAAACAAATCACTTCCATTTTAAATGGTCTAGATAAGTAATTGTCTAGATCATGGGTCGTCAACCTGGTCCCTACCGCCCACTAGTGGGCGGTAGGGATTTTCTAATTTTGAGAGACTGGGCGGGCGGGTGCGAGTCGGCAGTACCCCTGCGACTGGGTACCTCCATCACCACTTGCGGCTCCGGCCCGCATATCAAGGGGTCCATCTGGTGGCCCATGCTGTCAGGGCTACCCGATGGATGTGGATTGTGAGGGGGCTCGGTCAGCGCTGAGCGCTTTAACAGCACGACCGGGCCCCCTGTGATTACATCACACGCTGGGAGGAAGTGACTGCACGTCACTCCTCCCAGCTTACACTGAGAGCCGCGCAGGAAGACGACCAGGGAGTCAGAGTGGGAACTCTGACTCCCATCCACCTGAGCCGCCACTGGACCCCAGGGAATGTCACCCTCCTGCACCTAAAAGGTAGGAAACAGGAGGGTGACAAATATTTTCTGTGTGTTTGTTTGTGTATGTGTCTTTGTATGTATGTCTTGTGTGTGTGTGTCTGTGTGTATGTCTGTATGTGTGTATGTATGTGTGTGTCTTTATATGTGTCTTGTGTCTTTGTATGTATGTGTTGTGCGAGTGTCTTTGTATGTGTGTCTGTCTGTATGTGTCTTTGTTTGTATGTCTTATGTGTGTGTCTTTGTATGTGTGTGTCTGTATGCATGTCTGTGTGTGTTTATGTATGTGTGCCTGTCTGTTTGTATGTATGTATGTATGTATGTATGTATGTATGTATGTATGTATGTGTGCCTGTCTGTTATAGTGGGCTATAGTAAGTGGGATACCTAGCTCAGCCTTCCTACTGGGAATTGATATAAGGAAGGTTAAATTTTTAAAAAAAAAGGGGGGGGGTGGGAAGGTGGGGAGGGGAATTGAGGAGGGAGAGGAGAGGAGCTGACGCACAGATGAGAAATCATATTATGCGCAAACAGATAAGTCGTCTGAATATCACTGAAAGAGGAGACCTTCGTTTGTTCCTTACGAAAATCGAACCAGATATCAAATATTTAGTCTTGCAGCATCAACCTCAAGGATCTCATTAACCACTAGTAAAGGTAATTTCAATTTACTTTATTGTTTTCTCATTAAACTTTATAAAGTTAAAAACATTATAAACATGCATTAAGTATAAATATGCATATAGTATAGGGCTATTCCAAGCTAGGGAAACAGAAAATATATGGCATAGTGCAATACTGTATATACTGTGATTGGATATATGGGTAAGTGACAAATGCTCACTCACACTTTAACATCCCAAGAAGTGCTTTCAGAAATATGCTGTGTCTTCTTTGCCTCAGATACTTGGTAAATGTGAATCTCACATAAAAAACAAAGTGCAAAAAATATAGATTGAATGACTGTTTGAGTAAAGAGTAAAAAAAGCATTTATTACTTACATCAAAGTAAATAAAAGCAGGTAAATCAGTCCAACGTGTTTCTTCCCTGTTAGGGACTTCCTCAGGGACAATCTTTCACAAAGATGATGAATAAAAATACATATAAACCTAGTTACAAACATTTCCCAATATATACCACCCCCAATCAGTCCCAATAGTGGTTCTGCAGGTGATTCCATTTCTCTTCAGCTATTTTCAATTCAAATTTGAGTTACTTCCGGGTTTCGTGTATCCTGTGCGGTCACGTGATGTGCGTGATGACGTCATGCATTCCAGCTATGCGTTCCACCTTTGTTTCGGCTGTCACTCATAATTACAAACTGAGATGTTGAAAAAAAGTCCCAAAAAAGACTGTTTCTAAATAGAAATACAAGTGGGGGGAGTATACAAAAGGGAATGGAAAAGAGGTTAAAAAGATATTGCTAATTTAAAGGTTTTTTGAATAATCTTTATTTATAAAAAACAGGTTAAAGAGATATTACTGATTTGAAGATTTCTGAACAAACTTTATTTATAAAAGACAAAACAGACACACTAGTAACCTGCGTTTCTTACATTAATACATTTGTATGTCAGTGTGCATGAATGCTCAACTACATAAGACAACATGCACACTGCATAATGTGATATGCACAAGCCAAGATGTTCTAAATAATGCCATAAATGCATTAAAATGTTAATTCTGCAAAAAATAAATAAATATATATATATATATATATATATAAAAATTATAATAAAAAAATATGTAATAATAAAACATGGTAGTTTATCTACCTTCAACAGAAAATCTGTAATTTTAAAATTAAGATATATCTAATACTACTGGAAGACCAATTTATAGTTCCTTTTATATTCAATGGTAGGAAAAAATAGAATAGATTCTTGGCTTGTTCAATGCCAAAAAACATATAGAGGGATATATGACAATATACACCACCCATAGAGAACAAAAGAAAAAGAAAAAGGAAAGAGAGCAGAGGAAAAAAAGAATTACTCCAAAAAGCACCACAGATCTATGTCTGCATTTAATCCTCCTGGTTGGAGGGTTTTTAATATATTGATCCAATACGTTTCTCGCTGTGCTAGTCGTTTAATAAGGTTGCCACCCCTCCAATGGTTGTCAATTATTTCTAGACCTATATAGTAGAAATGTTTCCAACTAAAATTAAGACATGAATTACAATGCATGGGAACCAAATGTTTATCATATTTTTTTCTAATATTTTTATGTTCTAAAATTCGTTCTTTAAGTTTTCTACACGTACGTCCCACGTATTGCTTTCCACAGGGGCAGTGTAGCAAATATATTACATTTTTACTATCACAGTTTATATTAGTCTTGATATTAAATTCTCTACCTGTAACTGTACTTTTAAACTTTGTTACTTTCAAAAGCCTCTGTGTCAAACAGGCTTTACAATGATTACATGAGCTGAAACCCTTTATTCCACTTTTCTTGTTTTCAGGTTTATTTTTTAAGGCATAGCTAAGAGCCAATAAACTTTTCAAATTTTTTGCTTTCCTAAAAATCATAGGTGGCTGTTTGGGTAATGTCTCTCCTAAAATTGGATCTTTAAGCAAGATGCCCCAGTGCTTATTCAGAATATTTCTAATCTTTCGATGTTGGGTATTATACTGGGTAATAAATGCATATTTAAAATTTTCCCCCTTATCTTTGACTCTTTTCTTCTTTTTAATAAGATCCTTTCTGTCTAATCTTCCTGTGTCCTTAATTTCCTTGTCTAGTACACTTCTTTCATATTTTTTGGACATAAGTTTATTGCATAAATGTTTAGCTTGTTCCTTATAATCATAATTGTTGGTAGAGTTTCTTTTGATTCAAATTAATTGGCTTTTAGGTATAGAATTTAGCCAATGTTCGTGATGGCAGCTCTTTTTATGAATAAAGCTATTTCCTTCTGTCTCTTTAAAGTAACACTTTGATTGAACCTTATTATTTTTAATATAAAATGTAATGTCTAGAAAATTTATACTTCTGGTATCAAATGTGTGTGTGAACTTTAAATTATAATTATTGATGTTAATATAATTCAAGAATTTTTCTAGTTCACTCTGAGTTCCCTTCCAAATTAGGATAACGTCATCTATAAAACGCTTCCAGAGGACCAGGTTTGCAACCCAGCCATGCCCCCTCCACACGGAGTTGGTCTCCCAATCTCTCATGTATATGTTGGCATAGCTGGGGGCAAACCTGGTCCCCATGGCTGTGCCAGTTTGTTGAAGGTAAAAAACATTGTTAAAGGAAAAGTAGTCATGGTGTAAAATAAAGTGAATACCATCCAATACAAAATTTCTCAAATTATTTGGTGTATTAATGTCCTCCTTCATGATTTTCTCTACTGCTTGAATACCCAATTCATGTCTGATTATTGTGTATAACGAAGTAACATCAATCGTTACCCAAATGTAATCTTCCTCCCAGTCTTTATTTGCCATCAACTCCAAAATATGAGAAGAATCTCGTATATAGGAGGGGGCTTGTTGAGCAAATTTTTGTAAATAATAATCTATAAATTCGGAAAGGCGTGATGTAACTGAATCTATTCCACTTATAATGGGTCTTCCTGGGGGCTCTACAGGGTTCTTATGTAACTTGGGCAAAAAATAGAAATCGGGATCACAGGAAAGTCGACATAAAGATACTCAATGTTTTTTTTAGATATTACATCTTTTTCACCGGCCAGATTTAGAAGTGTTTTAAGTTCTTGATTAAACTGAATTGTAGGATCACATTTTAATTTTAAATACGTTTTATTGTCCCCTAAGATTCTATCTGCCTCTTTTAGGTAATAGTCTTTAGTCATTAGGACTATTGCCCCTCCCTTATCCGCTTCTTTAATGATGACATTTTCCATATTTTGGAATTTTTTAATACTAGCATTTTCCCCTTTAGTGAGATTAAATTTATTCTTATTTTTATTAGTTTTTTGCTGTAGATCTAGTTGTTCTAGATCACTACAGACCATATTGCTAAAGGTTTCTAAATGATGGCCCTTCTGACTGGTGGGGTAAAAATGTGATCTCTTTTTAAACTTTTTCTCCTCTGACTGTGAAATTTGGTTAGGAATTTCTTTAGCTGGATGTTTTAGAAAGAACCTTTTAAGAGTCATCTTTCAAACAAATTTTTGTAAGTCTATATAGGTGTTAAAATAATTCATACCTTGATTGGGTGCGAATTTAAGACCCTTTTTGAGGGCTTTTAGATCATCTGGAGTTAGCTCTATATCTGTTAAATTATAAATGCCTAGTTCTATTTCTAATTCCTTTTTGGATTTTCCTCCCTCCGGAAGTTTTCCTCTGCTCTCTTTCTTTTGGGTGGAGTTTCCATGGGGCTTTCCAGTGGGGAGAATCTGTTTTCCCACTGGTTGTTGCGGGGTTTGAAAAACTGGGTTATTCGCCTTTCTTTTTGGTCTAGCTCCCTCTCTAAAAAACGTTCTTCCCTCTCTTGAAAATTCTCCCGACCAGAACTAGCTATTTCTGCATATGTTTTCTGGTAAGTAGAGGTACTAGGTCTCTGTGTGGAGATGCCAGATTTCTGGACGGGGGAATTTCCTGAAGCTTTTCCCATTCTATCTTTAGTGTGAAAAAAGGGTGGAGACTATCCCCTTTCTCCTCTATTGCTATTACGTTTAGGTGATACAAATCGTTCCTTTCTGTTTAAAGGTTTATTCTCATTATTATTTTAGTTGGAAACATTTCTACTATATAGGTCTAGAAATAATTGACAACCATTGGAGGGTTGGCAACCTTATTAAACGACTAGCACAGCGAGAAACGTATTGGATCAATATATTAAAAACCCTCCAACCAGGAGGATTAAATGCAGACATAGATCTGTGGTGCTTTTTGGAGTAATTCTTTTTTTCCTCTGCTCTCTTTCCTTTTTCTTTTTCTTTTGTTCTCTATGGGTGGTGTATATTGTCATATATCCCTCTATATGTTTTTTGGCATTGAACAAGCCAAGAATCTATTCTATTTTTTCCTACCATTGAATATAAAAGGAACTATAAATAATTGGTCTTCCAGTAGTATTAGATATATCTTAATTTTAAAATTACAGATTTTCTGTTGAAGGTAGATAAACTACCATGTTTTATTATTACATATTTTTTTATTATAATTTATATATATATATATATATATATATATATATATATATATATATATATTTATTTTTTGCAGAATTAACATTTTAATGCATTTATGGCATTATTTAGAACATCTTGGCTTGTGCATATCACATTATGCAGTGTGCATGTTGTCTTATGTAGTTGAGCATTCATGCACACTGACATACAAATGTATTAATGTAAGAAACGCAGGTTACTAGTGTGTCTGTTTTGTCTTTTATAAATAAAGTTTGTTCAGAAATCTTCAAATCAGTAATATCTCTTTAACTTGTTTTTTTTATAAATAAAGATTATTCAAAAAACCTTTAAATTAGCAACATCTTTTTAACCTCTTTTCCATTCCCTTTTGTATACTCCCCCCACTTGTATTTCTATTTAGAAACAGTCTTTTTTGGGACTTTTTTTCAACATCTCAGTTTGTAATTATGAGTGACAGCCGAAACAAAGGTGGAACGCATAGCTGGAATGCATGACGTCATCACGCACATCACGTGACCGCACAGGATACACGAAACCCGGAAGTAACTCAAATTTGAATTGAAAATAGCTGAAGAGAAATGGAATCACCTGCAGAACCACTATTGGGACTGATTGGGGGTGGTATATATTGGGAAATGTTTGTAACTAGGTTTATATGTATTTTTATTCATCATCTTTGTGAAAGATTGTCCCTGAGGAAGTCCCTAACAGGGAAGAAACGCGTTGGACTGATTTACCTGCTTTTATTTACTTTGATGTAAGTAATAAATGCTTTTTTTACTCTTTACTCAAACAGTCATTCAATCTATATTTTTTGCACTTTGTTTTTTATGTGAGATTCACATTTACCAAGTATCTGAGGCAAAGAAGACACAGCATATTTCTGAAAGCACTTCTTGGGATGTTAAAGTGTGAGTGAGCATTTGTCACTTACCCATATATCCAATCACAGTATATACAGTATTGCACTATGCCATATATTTTCTGTTTCCCTAGCTTGGAATAGCCCTATACTATATGCATGTTGAATTGAAGATAGGAGGAAATCTTCGGGCATATCCTATCTTGCTAAGGGAAGTTATTTCATTTTCTATCACAATCACTTGTTGAATTGTAATTCATACAGCACTGTATGTGAACACTACTTATGAGTGTGTGAGAAATTCTATATATTTTTTTATTAAGTATAAATAAAAAGATAAATGTACGTACATTTTTTTTAAAACGCTCCTTTCTAAAAAATATTCCACACTTGCGCGAAAACTGGTGGCCAGTAAGGAAATTTTTTCAACCAAAAAGATGGGTTAGTGGGCGGTAGGTAGAAAAAGGTTGACTACCACTGGTCTAGAGGAGTAATAAAATATTACCAGAAGCACCAGAAACTCATTGGGTGAATCAAAGAACTTTATTCCTGATCAAAGATTGGCTATATTTGGGCTCAGCGGAACCTTTGTCAAAGGCTTTGCATTACAACAAAATCTGCCCATTTTTGATAAGGAATAAAATTTCTGGATTCACCCACCAAATTCTTGGAGATTCAGGGAATAATTATAGGTAATAAGGAGCTCTCTTTAGTTTGTTAAAAAAAAACAAAAAACAACACCCTGTAATCCTGTTTAATTTCTTTCCATTTAGACAAAATATATGAAATAAATTAAAAGGTGGAAGCACTTAAAAAAACAAACAAACAAATAATTCCCGTTAAAGTAAAAATTCCCAAATGGAATATCATTCAGATATTTACATATATATGTGATAGAACGTGTAAAAATGTAGATGCATTATCATACAATTTTATAAATTTAAGAGATACATACACCATACTCATTAGAGTGACATGTCTCATACATATTGTAATTCTGTATTATTTAATCATGATACCCTTTAGAAAGCTTTGTTCTACGTTTGCACAAACTCCTTCATAAGCCACCTTCAATACTCAGTGGAGACTTTGTTTACATTTAGCATAGAAAAAAAAAATAGCCAGTATGGCATATAAACTGGAGTCACGATCATAATGTTAACATAGTTAACCTCATTAATATTTATTAAAATGAGCTCTTCCCAATGGATGAAAATAGACAGAAAGTTTATATACATATTTATGAAAGAGCAAGGTTGTGTGTTACTGCTGGGATAAAGCCATATTTCCTACGGAACTTGAGGACATCGTAATATGAATCCCGATTTAAAGTGGAATTAAGGTAAGTGTAAGCGTGATATGACTATGCATATGCATATGAAGGAAGTATTGCAGCTCTCATTTCATAGTTCTAAAAACGAAAAAATATATATTAATATATATAGTGGATAGTTAATACATTGCTAAACAAAAATATACACACCAGTCAAGCCATAAGACCTGCTTTTCCCACAGAAATCTCACTTTAACAGTGCTCTCACTACTGCAAGGGATTCTAGGTAGGCGTATGCAAGTGAACGCAACAAAGAAATTTTTGCCTCATAAATCCACTTTATACATTGACTGTGTGTGTATTTGTGTTTAGCAATATATTAACTATCCACTTACTTCAGGTGGAAGGGGTTTTCATCCACACTTATTTCACCACCACAACTCTCTTGGTATGTGTGGCGAAAGTAACCTCGCCACTGGGAGCTGGATCTAGGTGTTTGGTCCAGGGTGGGAAGGTACGGCGAGACCCCAGCCAAGTGGACTAGTGGTTATGGTGTCCGGTGCGGTGCATATAGTACTCAGTAATACTAGGAAGCATGATTTTTACTCAGTAATACTATGAAGCGTGATTTTTTGAGTTCCAGTCTTTAACTATATTGCATTGTGAAACCAAGTAGGTAGTTTATTAAAAAGATATATATTTATTGCATATAGGTTAGTATGTTTTACAGGTGTTGGACCATAAAGCCCTGCTCTAAGAAGTTTGAAGTATGATTTGTACAGATCTCTTATATCACTTCTTACCATGCTCACGAAAGCTGGGTTGTTCATTAGGCTGGCCATATCAAAACCCCATCCTGCGCTTGTCTAACAAAAACAGAAAGTGATCGTTACCAAGCAAAGCAATGACTTCTGATTTAGCTACATTAACAAGGAAGAAACAGTTGTTAGTATTTCAAAGTTAGATGGCCAACAAGAATAGCTTACCGGGCTGGGGACTTGTTTAAGTTTTTGTTCTGCTATTTTTAAATATGATTTATATGATTCATTTTCATGGTCTAAATCCAAGGCTTTCTGATAGCTGCTGATTGCTTCTTTGTACTTATTCATACCAGCAAAAGCTCTCCTAAAAAAAACCAAAACAAAACACCTTCAATATTCTGCAAAAAAAAACCACAAACCATCTGACGCTGTTGTAATACATACTTTGCATACATAAGTCACACTAATAATTAAATAGAAGGATTTTTGTGGGGGTTTTCTCTCCACATTAGATTAGCAGTTCAAATTGGATTAGGTATACATCTTGCAGCATTGAGAACAAATGGTTTCTCTGCTTTTTGGTTACTGAGACCTATATTAGAACTTTAATTTTCTCATTGAAAGACTCTAATTTACAAAACTTTTCAATTCACTGACCGGTACTCTTTACAGATGCTTCGAGAAAGTTTCCAAGGTTACATTGGGAAATCTATTTAACAGATTTTCAAAGGACATTGATTGGGACTGGATGTGATATTGTTATTATTGTCATTGAACATTTATTTTAAGCAGAGTGTGAAATACTAATTTAGCTCCTTAATATTAGAACTTGAAAATAACGCTGGATTTATTTGTAACCTCGACATTGATTAGATGTTTTCGTCTTTTTCAAAACAATAAAATGCCCTGGAAGAAAAATAGAGGGAGTCTTGAAGACGTTAATGGGGCAGGTCCAAGTGTGAGTGCCTATGTGTACTCTGTGATTGAGTGTGCTGTTTTAAGAAGCCAGTTGCAGGTTTTGTGTTTTACAATACCTGTCAAACTAGTTTTAAGGATTTATCAACTAGAAAAATGGGCTAGCAATTTTCCCCACTGTCTCAAACCTAGCAGGACAGTCCCATTTAGTGATCCCAGTATTGCTGTCCTGAGCACATGGGGATGTCCTGATACATCCCCACCCCTAATTTCATAAAACACAGTGTTGGGAGGTATAGGTGGAGGGCTGTGCTACTCAATTAATCTATTAATGTTTTAGTGCTAATAAAATGCATTTGTGTACTTTCTAGAAATTATCCGTGTTCTTTCCTTTTCACTTAATCCCTCTTTTTTGTAATACTGAGATGTCAGGCTATGCCAGTACAACCTTACTTTTGATAAAAATCTGTTGCAAATTCAGAATGTCACACAACTCCCTGTGCATGGTCACACAGGGATGCATTGAATGAAGGCTGAAGAATATACTGTGGTGCATGTGCATCATCTTCTTCATCCATTCCTTCTTACACAGTATAAGGCAAGGAACTATTAGAATCCACTGGATGATGCCAAACACATATTTAGGATTAGTGGAGTCTGGGCTGTCATATTACTTTCTTACTTGCTTTCACTGAACACACAGGGTGAGTTAATCATAATGTTACAGCAATGGAGCTGAAGTCAGCTTCCTGTTCATCTAGCTCAGTGATGGCGAACCTATGGCACGCCGTGCCCTCTCTGTGGGCACGCAGCCATAGGTTCACTGCCCAAAACGGCAGGCACCTACTCTGCTTCCGTGTCGGGAGGCAGGGGGAGGGATATGTGAAGCAGCTCCCCTGTCCTTCCGCGAGCAATCAGTGTGGAGCGTTGCCGCGCGTTACCATGGCAACGCTCCACACAGCATCGCGCGGGAGGACAGGGGAGCTGCTTCACATATCCCTCCCCCTGCCTCCCGACACGGAAGCAGTACTTACCACCACCGGACCACCAGGGATGGTTGTGTACCTCCACTACTTCATTAAAGGTAAGAAGGAGGGAGGAGGGAATACAGATTTAGCGCATATATTATATAAATATATATATATATATATATATATATATATATATATATATATATATATATATATATTTTATATTATTTTTTACCCTCGATTCCCACACACCCTCCCTCCCCACACACACACACACACACACACACACACCACCACACACACACCACCCCACACACACACACCCCACCCCACACACACCCCCCCACACCCCCCCACACACACACACACACACACACACACACACCACACACACACACACCACACACACACACACACACACACACACACACACACACACACACCACACACACACAGCAGGTTGGTGGGATGTAGTCCATGAAATGACGACCAGTCAGGCGTTCCGGGTTGACAACACCAACATCACGACATCCAGCTCTATTCACACCCATTGATGGTGTTTGGTGGTTCACAAAGGTTTGGCAACTTTCCAAATAAAGTCAGAATGAATCACAGGCTTGTCACTTTTTTTTTTTTTTTTTTTTAAACAGAATGTAGGCATTCCACAAGCATTGCTCAAGAAGATGTCTGAAGATCTTCTTGTAGTACTTCTTTTGCGGTTTCCTCATTGCTGGGTAGAATGTCATTGCTTGGTCGGCTCTGTCCACACCACCCATGGTGTAACTGTACTCTATCACTACTTGTGGCTTCGTGATTTCTTTCCCACCTTTCGTGCGTACCATAACAGTGGAGGTATTATGAACTGTACTCATTAGGCACACATCTTTCTTGTCACGCCATCGCAGTGCCATCATTTTGCCAGGCAACCATTTCTCCAGTCTTCAGCTTCTTATTGCAAAACATTGGCGGCATGTCGCGCCGGTTAGCCCTAACAGCTCCATAGGCATCTGTTTTGTTTTGCAGAAGAAACTCAAAGCTCAGGAGAGGTATAAAAGTTGTTGGTTGTTATGCAATAGCCCTGATTTAGCAATAGCTCAAGGAGTGAAAGAACGGAAGATGTTGACATTCCATAGTTGCTGTATTTTGGATTGAATTTTGTTCCTTTTCCAGTGTAAATGACTAAATTCCAGATGTAGCCAGTTGACGATTCGCATAGCATGTAAGATTTTACGCCAAATCGTGCTCTCTTTGATGCAATGTAATGTACCCAGCTGAGCCTTTCCTTGTAGGCCATTAGCTCTTTCTGGCACATAGCTCCGTTGGAACTTCTTTAGAATCATTTAAGATACTTCCCAAATTTTCTTTAGTTTTGATGCATGATAAATAGTTTAAACAAATTCTTCGTTGTTTTCAAAGTGTAGAAATTTAATGATCAGGGAAAATCTATACTCTGACATGACCATGCCAAAGAATGGAGTGGCAAGTAATTAATTAGTTGTCCAATACCACTTCTGCAGAAGTTTCCCCACTACTCCCTGAAGTATTATTAGTCCCAGAAATTTCTAAATGTCATCTTTGGTCACTGGTTCTCACTTTCTGCTTCTTGAAAACTTCTGATGCAGAGTAGCCAGTTGTTGCTCTTTGTACCGGTTTGTCTCAGTAACTATTGTTTCAATAACTTCATCGGTCAGAAATAATTGTAATTGTATGCCAGGGGGTTGTTGTGTTCAACGTCTACTTTCATACCTGATGCTCCAGCAAAAAAACTTTGGCGCTGCCTGATCCGTACCACAGTCAATAGAGCACCAAGTTCACTCAGTCGCAGAATTGTCGCAGTCATCACTTTCAATGTCTGATGACGAATTTTCCCATGAATTACCAACGCTCAATTCTGCAAGTGATTCTAATTCACTATCGCTGTTTTCTAGCTGGTCTAAAACCACTTTTGACCTAAAGGGATGCTTTTTGGATGCCATGGACATTCTCAAGTTTCCAGGCAGAAAGAAAGAAAGGTAAAAGTGCAGGCAGGACCCTGGACAAAGCACTTGGACAAAACTGAGGTGAAAAGTTTGATTCAGTAATGTAATCCTAACAGATTACACTGTATTACAATGTATTGTGTGTATGTGTAGGTTTACTTTTTTTTTTTTTATTTCCCGCCTGGTTCCGCCCCTCTGCGTCGCCGCAGGGCATGGAACCCAGAAGACGGATGCCGGCATTGGGCAGAGGACACTAGAGGCTCCTAGGGACAAGGCAAGTGATACCACAGTGTAATCCCGAGCGTGGCTCGGGGTTACCGCTTTTGGTACTGAAAATTAACCCCGAGCCACGCTCTGGATTACCGCCAGGGAGGTTAATGTGTGCATCCTAACAGAAAATTATAACTCGGGGCTATCACCACGGCAACACCAATTATTTCTTTTTTTGTGCTAAGTATTCTTGATTAAAGGAAGATCATTTTATACAGTTCTTGAGTGGAGTTGTAAAAGTGGAACAATCTATGGAAACATGCATTTATTTTTTTTCCAAGGCAACTGTACCACAATCAGAACTTTTCCAAGGACAAGTTATTTAACCATAACACCCCACCCCCATGTAGCTACTGCCTGTTAGTTGGCACAACAGACCGTGAATGAAATGTCCATGGCTACTTCCACAGAACCTTCTACATGCTTACTTGACCAACTCTGGACTTGAAAGTTTTTACTGGGCTGAACAAAATGGGAGCCATCACCTACAGATAGGGGATATTGTCTATTTCACTCTAAGAATAAAATCTGCAAACCACAATCAAAACAATGGGGGTAAAAGATAAAAACACATGTTTTCAATAGGTCTCACAATACATTATAATATAGGTGTAACAGATTATTGAGCTAACCTATGTTCTTACCCCATTCTTCCGTATGCTTTGCTGTACATTCCATCAATGGATATTGCTTTCTCACAATCTTTTATTGAAGTGCTATGGTTGCCTAGTTGACTATAGGCAGCTGCCCTGAAAATAAAATAAACAGTCTAATGAATGTTACAATGTTCCATTTAGCAGATCCCTCCTCATTCCCCCCTCCCCACAAAGGAAGTAATTCAGGAAGGAACAGACATGCTCTAGTGTCTGTAATCTGAATTAACTTTACAGCAGATATAATTGTTATTGGTATTTATATAGCGCCAACTAATTCCGCAGCGCTTTACAATATTATGAGAGGGGGGAGATTTTACAATAAATGAGACAATTACACAGTGACAATGGGTAGATGACGACCCTGCGCAAACGAGTTTACAGTCTAGAGGAGGTGGGGTTCAAAAACAGAGCAGGGCAGCAAGGGTGACAGACCCCAAACAAGGTGGAAAAGTAGCAAAACTGGAGGTGAGAGTGACGTGTGGCTCTTTTAGGAGAGCAAGAGACAGATTTGGATAAATATAGATCCGTTACACTGGGATTCCATAAGCATTAATGAAAAGATGTGTTTTGAGGGACTTCTTAAACAGTTGAAGACTAGGGGAGAATCTGATGGGAGTAGGGAGTAATCTATTCCAAAGGAAGGGAGCCGCCCCCGAGAAGTCCTGCAAGTGCGAGTTAGCAGTAAGGGTGCGAGCAACGGACAGGAGAAGGTCACCGGAAGAGCGGAGACGGAGAAGGGAACAGATCTAAGAATCAGTGAAGAAATGTAACAGGGGCTAGAGAGGTTTAAAGCTTCATAGGTAAAGGTTAGTATTAGGTGTGTGTGTGTATATATATATATATATATATATATATATATATATAGTATTGAATTCGCTGTACTTTTTATATGAAGAAAGTTCTGCTTTTCTCATTTTTTTTTGTTTTTTTTAACCCCTTAAGGACACATGACGGAAATATTCCGTCATGATTCCCTTTTATTCCAGAAGTTGTATCCTTAAGGGGCTAAATTAATTGATATGCTTCTTTACCAATCGATCCTTGTATCATTCTATATCATATACTTTAATGTGCGGTTTTTTTCAAGCTGTTCTTTCAAACAAAAATATCTGCGCTCTTACAATTACCTGTTACAATAATAAACTGCATTGTTTGGATCCAGTTCTATGGCCTGTGTATAACAATCCAGAGCAGCTTCATAATTTAGTTCTTTCATAAAAATATTGCCTGGAATATAAAATACAAAGAACATGTTGTGAATGCACATAAAGTAAGTCTTCTTAATTTCAAGGATTACTCTATGAAAAAGATGCACATACAGATCTTAATCTCTTTGTTCCTGGAGAAGCCATGCGTATCACTCATTATATTTCTACTATTTTGCACGGAGTTTGTTTGTTACATACATTATCTCACTCATGCATTTGGCACAATAAGTGGTAATTAGTTTATTATTGTAGATGAGTCACATCTGGGGTGTTCATCAAGTGGCCCACAAAACTACCGGGACACTGATAATTTTACTGGATTTATTGTGGCATTAGTAAGTGCCCCAGTTATGTACAGTACCTTCATCTTTCAGCTTCTCAGCTTTTTCTGTGTCAGCTGGTGATAAGGAAGGAGATTCCACTGGTGACAACTCATTACTCTGTAAAATCATAAAACAGTTATAAAGTTCAGATAAGGAGTTAACTATTATATCCACGCTCAGAAATAGAAAGAGCATCACAATGGAAACATATCAACATTTTGATTCAGTGGTATGACGGACGTTTTATTACTGATGACCAGTCACCTTTAGCTGGCGATAGTTTAACTCACCCAGCATACATTTAAGGACCACTAAATCTCAATGAAGGGGTCTGGATGCAATTGCCATTTAGTTTTAACCTTTCAGTGTAAAACATTGCAGTTTTGTAGACATAGCAATGTTTCCATTGCAGGGTTAAAACACATCTCTAGTGGTGGTCTTCCTTTAAGGAAGCATAAAATACACTTACCCCTTCTGCAATATGAGGCAATCTGTGTCCTCATATTTCTGAAATGCTGTGCACGTTTCTTCTCTGGGTATCATTTCCAGAGATTCCCAGGTCATACACAGGCAAATATTAGACACTGTGAATGTGCATCGCACACCAGGAATCTCATGCTAGTTCAAAATAATTACAGTAAGGACATACCTAATTGCCAACATTTACCCTGGTATTAAAACATAGCTTTACACTCAGAAGTGATTGCTCATCTTTATCTAAGGCACTGCAGCTCTAATCACATATGAAATATTACTTTACTGAGAGGGTAGTGGATGCATGGAATAGCCTTCCAGCTGAAGTGGTAGAGGTTAACACAGTAAAGGAGTTTAAGCATGCGTGGGATAGGCATAAGGCTATCCTAACTATAAGATAAGGCCAGGGACTAATGAAAGTATTTAGAAAATTGGGCAGACTAGATGGGCCGAATGGTTCTTATCTGCCGTCACATTCTATGTTTCTATGTTTCTATGAAATGATATCTCCTCAATTATTCAGCTTATCTTTCGATAAGCATGCTGCTCATGCCAGCTTAGCTGGTGTTTATACAAGTATATGCTAAATGGATTACATGCTTCTCAAGTACCGTTTACAAGTGGTTCCCAAGACAGTCCTCAAGACACACCATGAGTGCCGGATTTAGGCATTTTCCAATTCTGGGCCACTGGTAAGTTTTGTTAGGACTGTGTTAGGAACCTCTGCCTTATAGGATTACACTCATTCCTTCTGGACAAGTATGTATATACTTTATTTTGTATGTTTTCTATCAAGATAATATACACCAGACCATGTGGTATTTTACACATAATAACCAGATATGCAGTATGCTTGCGGTACAGTTTCATACAGTATAGAACCTCCGATTATAAAAGAACTGCACAATCACACAGCTAGCCAATATGTATACAACAAATATTTAAAAAGGACTACTATAGCACCCATACCACTTCATCTCAATAAACTGGCCTGGGTGTAGTGGCATTTCTGTTGTGTAGATAGATCACTGTTTAAATTGCAGGGCTAAGGGAGCGGGGCCTGAACCGCATGGCAGAAGAACGTGCTGTGGGAGAGCTCTTACTATAGTTTAAACTTTAAGACAATATAACTTACTCCCATCACGTCCATCAGCCCTTTCTCGTGTCCCACGTACCCGTGCAGCAGAGCACAGTCCTTCAGGGCCCTTCACGGAGGCTCTCCGGCTATCTCACCCGGACGTACCTTGGGGGCCTTGTAATCTAGTTGGTCGGAGGAGGCAACCGATCTCTTTAACCACGAGACGTGACTCTCACTCAGTGGGTTAAGCCACCCCGTTGCCGCCCCCCCTTTGGACCAGTGGGGGTTCTACCGGTCCCCACCTCTGTGCTAATTGGACTGCTTGCCCAGCACATATAAGCCTACTCACCAATATGTCCACCGCCACACTGAGCGCATTGAAGCCTGAACAGCCTGACAAATAGAGTGGTACTGCTACTGTTAAAATTTGACAGCATCTGTGCCCAATTCGGAGAGAAAATCAATGGACGAGCAGAGATCACCCCGCATGGAGGTCTGTACAGCCAGGACCATGCAGCATCTCCACGGCCTACTCCAGCAATGAGGCGGGAGACCAGAAGGCCGAAGCCGCCAGTGCCTCGTGGCAAACCTACCTTCCGACCCTGCCATCCAGCAAAGGCTACCCATATTGGTGTATAACACGCCGCTGGAGGGAGACGGCACAGAAAAGCCTATGGCAGGAGGAGCGGAAACCCGGAGGCTCCAAGTCTGCGGTCAGCAGGGATGAACACCCTGAAGAGGCAATATGTAATAGTAGCGGTCCCCCACCGCAGGCCAGCAGAATGCTGCACACTGGTATCGCGGAAGCTCCATCTACAGGCATCGGATGAGTACATCTCAGCGAAGATTAACTAATCACTACAGTTCTGGACTATATAAATCATGAGTAGAACACTATAGCATTAGGAATACGAATGTTTCCTAAAGCTTGGATAACATGTACGTGCCATGAATGTGTCCAGTCACATGCGTTATAAAAAAAGAAAAGTTGCATACGGATACAAGTATGTAAAAGATAAATGTATCTATGCAAATAATGTTGCTGTTGTTCTTACACAGCAGAGTAAACTTGGCTATATAAACTGAAGTTTATATTGCAGCTTATTGTAAATTAAACTTAATATATTTAGAAAGAGTGCCATTGATAAAAATCAACATATATTATGGTGACCTATAAAAAATGTAAAAATCCTCCAACTGATGAATTTTAGTAGTTAATAAAGGGACACTATAAGCACCCAGACCACTTCATCTCATTGAAGTGGTCTGTGTGCAGTGTCCCTGTCCCATTAACACTGTGAAAAAACATTGCAGTTTCAGAGATGTTTAAATTGCAGGCTTAAGACTGCCTCTAGACGCTGTCTCTCAGACATCTCTGGCCTCTGCCACCATAGACACATTTTGGCCTTCCACAGAGTTGAACTACGTGAAACAATGCTGGGCGGTCTTATGCCTTCCATGAGGATGTCCAGCATCATGAAAATCCCCATAGGAAAGTACTAAAACAATGCTTTCGATGGGAAGGAAGGTCTGGGGGCAAAGAGACTCTATAGTGTTAGGTGTTAGGATTACAGTTTTGTATTCCCAACACTATAATGTTCCTTTAAGTTAAGCAGTATGACTTATCTGGTGTATAGACCAAGAAAGTTGATTCATTATAGGGATCAGGACATTACCTGTAGAGATAGATTAACATGGAGGTAGGGTCATAGATATGAATAGATTATATAAGGATGCTATTTAAAGAGTCATATTAAGTAATTGTATATATGTTAAGTTTAGAGATTGCAAGGAGAGAAATGATCCCCGGTACGGTGGAAATGCAAAAAAAAAAAAAATCCCAATACAGAGTAAACTGCATTTAAAAAGAAGCAATGAGATGATATATTGGGGAGGTTTTATATTGTATCCAGAAAATACTACATAGAAAACCGGTTACTGCTAAAAGCGGACTGGATATAAAGCATCACAGATAATAGCCATGTTTGCAATTCAACAAACATGTTTTAGCATTTTGGTTTTAATGGCCCTTCTTAATTTTCATACAAGTCCTGTCACTTGTAATGCACAATATAGTAATGACAAGGCAGCAATTAGAGCATACCTTATTCAATCAACAGAACAACCATCTATCCAAGCTGAAATATGAAATGTTGGCTGGTCCTGCTTTAAAAGCTACCTTCCCAGACTCTGCTAATAAAAGGCAGGACACAAACATCAGCAGAAGCCTGGTTTAAATCAAAAGCCTTAAAATTTGAAATTCACGTTGAATGATCAATTTAGTGAATATCCCTGTATGTTTTGCCAATAGGATGTCATGTTGCTCTGACAGAGTCCTATTGGTACATAAAATGCATCAGAGAGTGGCATTTGCCATTAGACCAAAACTCAATGCATAAAGAGAGCCATGAAAGGGGCTCTGTAACAGCAAACTTACCTCTCTTAAATCTATTCCTCTTCTCCCCCTCTTTCTGAATCTAATCTTCTTTTCATCCAATCTTATCTTATCCCAAAATACATAGGACAAAAGAGAGACTGCTTTGTCTTCGGTATTTTTTCCTATCTTGACAAAAGGCAAGCTCCACTTCCTTTATCAAGTTCCATTTTCCCATAATATTCACAGGCCCATCTTGTTATTTTACATTTGAGCAAAATGTCGTGTTATTGTAGGACTCACCTATGATGTGGCAGGTCAACTTACATCCAACAGCCTTTGGAGTAACACGAAAAAAAAAACTCCAGTTATTTAAATGTGCATTTGGATTTGGAATAGTGCGCAAGTAACCATTATATTTGTTTTTTCTATTGTATTGGGGCTGATGTGTACTATAGTCATTGCTGCCGCCCAGGAGTAGTGGAAGTTTGAGCTCAGGGCATAATTTTGTATGTTGGCATTTAAATATACTCTAGGAATGATTGCCAGTGAGAAAGAAGAAGGAATAACTGTGGCTGGAGTCACTGGCCACTCTTTTAATGTCTGTGAATGTACTGAAAATGACTGCTACCTTCTCCTTCCAAGCAACAAATACACTTTCAGTGATTCATACCATTTCTACTGTCACGGAGGGAAGGTGTAAAAGGGCTCTCCCATTTCACTACTATTACATTATTTTTACAAATTTCTTTAATTTAGAAATATAGGGTTTAAATTGTATTAACTACACGTGGGTTACATGGTCACTACAAATACCTACCAGCAGGTCACCATTTTCCCTATTTTTGTCACATCTACTGAATAGGAGAAAAAAATGAATATTTGAAGGGTCATTAAAAGGCACCAAAACAAATTCAGCTTAGTGAAGTGGTTTTGGTGTATAGATCATGACTGAAGTGTCACTGTTCAATTGTCTGCCATTTAGGAGTTAAATTACCGTTTATTCAGCCCTATACAGGATCCAACACACTCATTCATTCACTAAACAGCAATTTCAAGGCTCACATAATGTAATAGTTTTATTTTAAAACACCTCACCCTGGCAAAAAAATAAATTAAAAAAAATGGGGTTTAGTTACAGTGCCACAATATCAATGTACCCTATTCTTGGCAGGTCCTACTCTAGCAATACATGGTTTATATGCAGTACTGGCACCGGCCACAGAGCATCAAATACCGGCTGTGCCGGAATATTAGTGACTGATGTACACTCAGGAGAATGCCACCTGCCTGAGTACCACTACCAACTATAACATTTGGTGCTGAAGAAATAATGGCCTTGGTTTATTTTTCATTGTTTAAGCTAGGACTGTAAGATAGGAATGGCATATTAATATTTGTTTCTAGATCCTAAGACAATGCTGTGTGCATCCTAATGTCAGTACTACAGCTTGGAGTAGCCATATTAGCCAATGATGCAGAAGCCACATAACAGAGTTTCAAAGTGTTATAAGACAAAAAAAAGGGGGGGGAACAGCGCTACAGTACTGATCACAAAGGGGGATAGAGCTCATAGCTCTAAAAATTGTGTAAAGAATCGTGTGGAGTCACCTCCAATTTGCCCAGTAATATCCTACATGTGGGGAGTATTAAATACCACTGTATGCTGTTTTACCTAGAGCTGGACGTAGCTCTATAAATTGTAAGTTGGCATTTCTCCACGTCTGTGTTGTTCGTGATCCTCCCAGTATTACGGTTTTGCACTATTCGGTCTCCCCCCTCTCTGCTTTTGTATTCCATATCTGACTACGGAGATTCCAAAGCAAGAATAGAAGAACAGTCACTCAAGATCTACACTATACCTATAGAGACTCTTTCATTTTTTCTAGCGCACCCTGTATCTGTTGTCTGTTGTTCTCTCAAAGTGTTATAAAACTTTTTTTTTTTTTGCTATGCAAGTTTTTTTAATCCTTTTTTTTCTGCCACAACAGCAATAGCAAGCGTATTAAGAACAGTAGTTGACATGGCATGTGGGTAGACAGCACAATTTTATATTATATTATAATAAGCAGGCTAAGTAGTAAGAGATTATGTTAAGGTACGAACTATGATTTTAAACAAAAGATTGTAATTTTATAGCGTACAGACTGAACGGACACATCAAAATGCGCAGTATACTAGTGGTCGGGTAAGGATAGTGAGTTAGATGTGTGTTGCATTGTAACGATAGGGTAAACATAAGATTGATTTAACTAAGAATATTGAGTTGTTTAGCCAGGTTAAAAAGTATATAAAGATACACGCTGGGCTATACTCATGCTAAATACAACTGGTTGCTCTAAAGATTTCTATTCACTGTGATCCGGTGTTCCAGGGAAAAACGCTCTAAACCCCACGCGCTACAGGCAAGGTTGTAAGAGACATTATGGCTTAGTTACATGTACTGGAACACGGTGGAGTGAATATGCGATGCATGAGAGGGTCTGTGTGTTGTATAAAATTAGGGAACATGCTGTTAAATATAGAAGTAGTGTGATATAACAATAAATCCACTGTTGACCACAGAAAGCAAGCATAAAGCATAGGAAACATTAGCAGAAAACATTCAGTCCAAGTAGACATATGATCTGGAGAAAACATGGAGTCCAGATCTTAATGCTGGCAGAGTGCTAAGCCTATTCCCGCCAAACAGCATTGCCTGTGTAGGGGTGGTCTGGTGTACCAGACTTGCTGAGCACTGCCCCCACCGGCCCAAGTTTCTAGTTTCAATACTCCACCAGTCTCAGTTCTCACCACATTCTTGAGCGTCTGTTACAGCAGTCCCATGGCAGTATGCTTTTAAAGCTCGGGGTCCCCCTGAATGTTGTCTTCGCCCTGGGTGGGTGGTGATCAACCAGAGCGGAGAGAGGCTTGAAGGGGTTAATCCCGTGTTGGGCTGCTGCTTGGGGAGAGGATGGCGCTTCGCTGCTTCAGTATTCCAGCTTTGCAGCTTTCGTCGGGCCATTCACCTCCTCCTTCCCACCATTCATGCCATGTCAGGGCCCGGTTTGGGAGCTGCGGGTCGCTGCTCAGTGTCTCGTTTGGCTGTTGTCGGTGCAGCCGCCTCTTTGGTGCCCCTGTGATGAGAAAGCGTGGCCCAGAAGTCTGCGAACAGGGAGTCCAGCCTTTCGTCGAGAGAGAGGGCCGGGAGGAGCTGGGTGTAGAGTTACACGTGGCGTCCGCCATGATGATCATGCAGGTGAGACAGCGTCAGTTCTCCGTACCTACCCCGCAGACTGTGGTTGCTGGGATATTCCTCATATACCTGGGGAGAGTATGTGTGGGAGACCGCTGGGTGAGGATGCTGCAGTCAGCTAAGGGGTCGGCCGCCTCCCTCGTGCCATCTGTGCAAGCCTCTTGTAGGCCTCTGGTCTGTCCTCGGGAAAATGCCACCGATCTTGGTCATTTGCCCTGTAGTTTGTTGCCGCCGTGGAAGTACACCCTGCCCCCCCCGCCTCTCTGGGGCTTCTGGGAAGGTAGTATTTTAGGCTATTTTCCTCGATTTGGGGCTTTTTGGCAAGGAGCACACTACTTCGACCCGGTCAGTGCAGCTGCAAGGCTCCGCCCCCTCTATGTATGTTTTTATTTATTTTAAATTACAAGATATGTTACCAGTCAACAAAGTACATTCGTACAATACAGTGGGTACTTACGTCATCCAGTGATGTAAAACTTTTTTTTAATGAACAAGCAGCATTTTAGAACAATGAAGTTTTAAAAAGGTTCATCAGTCCAAAATATGGTCATTCCAATTGAAAAAGGTAAATATGCAATACTGCTTTCATTTTTTACTAGCAGAATTCTGACTCTGATCACAAATTGCCCTTATGTGATATTAAAATTTAAATAAAAGGTGTCAGATAATTCCTACTCTCCAGGGTCATTAAATAAATGTCACAATACATTTGGATTATACTACATATACAGTATTCATCTTCTAGGCTGGTTTTGCCCTAAGCTGCTGACAAGACAAGTTATTTTCCTGGTGACTACAGGAAACTGACTATGACATTGCAGTTTATACAGTAGACAGAGTGAGGAACATTAAAACTCATAAAAGATACACCACCTCAAATGTAAAAGATTGGATTAAAATATGTGAATCAAATACGTTGAAATAGATTTTGGTATACACGATTTCCCCCACTTTCACGGCTTCTCAAGGTCTACTGTGTTTCACCAAGGAAGAGTTGAGTTAACAATTAGTAATTAGATTGAAGGTTGGGAATTAAAGGTCAGGAATACATTTTTGAGCATTAAGGAAAATGTTTGGGTAAGGAGTATGAATATTATTTTATAGGTTTTGGAGTTCACACAATACAGATAAATATGGTTTTATACTTTGATTTAGGCAGCTATACGAAGTATTAACACAGCTCAGTCTGCTGCACGTGGTTTAAAAAAAACTGCAATGAATCAATGTCTGGTCCCCCAGTTATTAGGTTGTTCAGGGTCCCACACTCTTTTTGAATTTTCCCACCTGTGTGGGTGATTAAAAGGCTGTAAAAACATTGCTCTCTTTAAGAGGATTTTCTTTTGTTTAAAAAAATAAATAATATATATATATATATATAAATTTAATTTTCATTTTCACAAATTACATAACTATGATAGGTCAACAAGAAATAAAACCTATGGGGGTGGGGGCTTTCTTTGGAGCTGTAGTACAGAGCATTGTTCTATGAAAGACAACTGACATAAGCTGAATTTTTCTTTACAAATCATCTACGTCAGGCACATGTGTAGAATCTATGACACATGGCAAGTACAATCGCTGTGACATCAGTACTGAGAAAAAAGTTAAATACTAGCTGGGTGGTGCACCTTTGTTCAATGAAGAATTATGCACAAATAAAGTTGCACTCATCACCAATGTCATCAAAACATTAAAGGGGAAAGTGAAGTACTAAAATTGTTACACAAATGGCAAAATCAATTTCAACATAAAGCGCAACATTTAAGGAGGTCTTGTTTTCCTAAAATAAATCAAATTACCATAGGGTGGGCTTGTGAGAAAACCTCTTCCAAGGACTTCGAAGTGGCAAGTTGTGCGTCTTCTGGACCAATCTTAAAAACAGTCTCCAAGCACTGCACTGCAACTGAATAAAACAAAAACATGCAGCAATCATTAGTCCACCATACACGATTATTGCAAGCAAACTCAGGGGAAGTTGAGTGTATGTGCAAGGAACAGAATACAGAATGCAATCTAAAGTGCAGGTCTTTAAATCAGTACTCATACACTAACAGATCAGGTCTTTTCAAAACTCTTTCTGAAAAAAAAAAATGTAGCCAAAGAGATAAACAAGCTCTCAGATTACCACAAAGGAAAGCCATGAAAGGACACAGTACAAAGGCAAAAATAAGTTTATAACCCTAGCGAGGCTGTGATAGGCTGGCTGCACCCATCTGATGCCAAAATGTGCATATCCGACATCGGCCTGGTGATGCAATCACATTTGTATTGTCAACAAGGGACGAAAGGCTGGAGCCATACAAGGTCTCCGTTGTGCAGCAACCAGCGTCCAAGAAAACATCAGAAGGATGCGAGCCAGCATACGAAATGGCTGAAAGCGGCCCCGGATCTGGAGCAACAGTAAAGCGCCCCGTAACAATGTACTGCGTGGGCCTTGTAACAATACACCCATGATAACTATCTACTCCAGCCCTGGACACTTAGAGAATCTTTCATCTTTGTATTTTGCCTCCCTGAATGAAGGTATTGTGTGCATAGCTGAACATATAAATGCAATATTTAGCATAAAATAAAAATTATCTTCTTAGCAGAGATTGGCAATATTTTTGCGGTTTTACTAGTAACAATGTCTACTTGTAACATGCGCTTACCTTTCCCCGCCGGTCCCGCGCAGCGCCGGGTCCTCCTCCGATCCTTCCGGGGGGCGGCTCAGCTATTCTGACGCCGGCCGCTCGGAACACTCCCACATTTATGACGCGGCACATGCGCGCCGACGTCAGACCGAAAATGGCGCCAAAATTCAAACGTGGCCACGCTCCCGGACTTTTTGGGGGCGTGGCTACGGAATTAAAGCCAAAGAATACACACTATAAAAGGGCTATCATGACACTTGTCAGATGCCCTAGTGTGGTTCTTGTTTAAGTCCCCTGGTGCTATCTTTTCTTATTGTCCTTCCTGGTATTGACCCTTGGCTACTCTCTCTGACTGTTCTGTTTTCTGGTTTCCCGTCACTTGGCTTGGATAATCGTGTGCCCGTCTTCCGTATTTCCTTGACCTCTGGCTATTTCTCTTGACTATTCTCAGACGCTAGTCCGGCCATTCTAAGGTCCGGTAACCGTCTTTCTGTGGGTTTCACGCTGTGTGAAGGGGTCATTGTTGTGACTTTGGTCACTGTCGTGACATTACACTAGGGCCATGGACCCTGCAGGTGTTAACCCTCTCGGACCGGCACCTGATGACCGATTTGAAGAACTGGACCATCGCATGGACCAGTTCGCTATTGCAGTACAAACCTTGCTTGCTCGTACTGCCCATCTCCAACCGGAGGAGCAAACCCCAGTACTCAGACCTCAGGAACAACCCATGGAAATGGTTACTATGGGTACTCCTAATCATGCTACCTCCCCTCTCCGTTACGGGGGTGATCCTAAAGGCTGCCGAGGTTTTTTGAATCAAGTCAGTATCTATTTTGAGCTCCATCCGAGAGCATACCCTACAGATAGGGCAAAGATAGGTTATATCATTACTTTATTGGTCGATAGGGCATTGACTTGGGCAAATCCTCTGTGGGAGAACGATAACCCGGTAGTGTTTAACTACGTAGAATTTGTCGCAGCTTTTAGGAGGGCTTTTGATCCTCCAGGGAGGAGAACTAATGCTGCCAAAACCTTGCTACGTATGAGACAGGGTTCTCGTTCTCTTGTTGATTACGCTTTAGAATTCCGTACCCATGCGGCCGAAGTTAGATGGAATGAACAAGCATTTATTGACGTATTCATGAACGGGCTTTCAGATAAACTCCTAGATGAGGTCGCCACTAGAGACCTACCCAATGTGCTAGAGGAATTGATCACGTACCTTTCCCACATTGATGAGCGTCTTAGACACAGGCAGAATACTAGAGACAGACCTCGACGGGTGCCAGAACGCTTAGCGTTAACATATCCTTCATCCGAGACAACAACAGTCGCTCCTCCAGAACCAATGCAACTGGGAGTCACGCGTTTGTCTGAGGATGAAAGACAATACCGCCGTAGGGAGGGACTATGCCTATATTGTGGCCGAAAGGGACATTCTCGTTCTACCTGTCCTAACCGGCCGGAAAACTCCCGCACCTAAGCCCTCATGGAGGACAGGCCTTGGGTGTAATGTGTATGTCCTCCTTTAATGATAAAAAAAGATCATAGGCTTCTTCTACCCATTGTTATTGAGTGGGAAAAGAAAAAAGTGCCAACCATTGCCTTAATAGACTCTGGGGCAGCCGAAAATTTTATTGATCAGAGATTCGGCCAGGAACATGCTTTCCCATTTCAGAATAGATCAACACCCTTGGCTGTTGAGGCCATAGATGGTAGACCATTATCTATCCCATTTATCACACAAGAGACTCTTCCAGTGGTATTGTCCGTAGGTTCCCTGCATAAGGAGGTTATTATCCTGCAACAAGTCACTTCTCCCATCTTCCCGGTTATTCTTGGCTTTCCTTGGCTCTCTAAACATAACCCTTCTATAGATTGGGAGAAAAAGGAAATTGTAAAATGGAGTGAGGCTTGCCGCAGAAAATGTATTACCCCTATTAAACACGTAGGTCTACTTAATGTACCTACTATGGAACCTTTAACCACTTTGATACCCAGACAATATTGGGATTTAAAAGCAGTTTTTGAACCAAGAGAGGCAGAAAAATTACCCCCACACCGGTCCTATGACTGTCCCATTGACTTATTACCCGGCACTATGCCCCCTAGAGGCACAGTTTATCCCCTCTCGGTAACCGAGAATAAGGTACTAGAGGAATATATCACGGAAAACTTAAGAAAGGGGTTTATCGTCAAATCTTCCTCTCCTGCTGGCGCAGGGTTTTTTTTTGTTTCCAAGAAGGAAGGGGACTTAAGGCCCTGTATTGATTATCGGGGTTTAAACAAAATAACTATACGTAACGCCTATCCTATTCCTCTAATCACTGAACTTTTCGATAGATTAAAAGGGGCGACTATCTTTACGAAATTGGATCTCAGGGGGGCATACAATCTAGTGAGGATTAAAAAGGGCACGAATGGAAGACTGCTTTTAACACTCGCTATGGTCACTACGAGTATAGGGTCATGCCATTCGGGTTATGCAATGCCCTAGCAGTCTTTCAAGACTTCATTAATGATGTTTTAAGGGAATATTTACATATGTTTGTTATTGTCTACTTAGATGACATTCTAATCTACTCCAAGAATATTCAAGACCACCATACTCACGTTAGGTTGGTTCTTTCTAAACTCTTAGAAAATGGACTTTACTGTAAATTAGAAAAATGCCAATTTGATATAGACACTGTGCATTTTCTGGGTGTTATAATTTCAGGGTCTGGATTTCAAATGGATAAGAAAAAAACTAGAAGCTATCCTTAATTGGCCCCTACCCGTTGGACTCAAAGCCATCCAACGCTTTCTAGGGTTTGCCAATTATTATAGAAAATTTATTAAGGGTTTCTCCTCTATCACTGCACCTATCACTGCCATGACCAAAAAGGGGCAAAATTCTATGGAATGGAATCTCGAGGCCAAAGAAGCTTTTGAGAGACTTAAATTGGCCTTTTCTTCTGCACCAGTATTGAGGCATCCCAATCCCTCTCGTCCATTTATATTAGAGGTGGATGCATCAGAAACCGGTATTGGAGCCGTACTGTCTCAACGTCCATCCGATGATCAACCATTGCATCCCTGTGGATTTTTTTCTAAGAAATTAACTGAGACAGAAAAGAGATATGACATTGGGGACAGGGAGTTATTGGCTATTATCTCTGCCCTCAAGGAGTGGCGCCATCTGTTAGAAGGGTCTACTATTCCCATCACCATCCTTACGGATCACAAAAACCTTTCGTATTTTGGAGAAACTAAAAGAATGTCAGATAGACAGATTAGATGGTCTTTATTTTTAACACGATTCAATTACATAGTAACTTACAGACCAGGATCAAAGAACACGAAGGCTGACGCCTTATCCCGTCAATATGAACACTTGTCACCTACAGTAACGCACCTCTCTTCCATAATCCCATCCAACCACATAATCGCAACAGTCCGTGCCAAAATCTCTTCAGGGTTAATGGAAGAGTTATCTAGGTTTCAGGATCAGACCTCATTGACTATTCCCAGGGGAAAACAATACGTACCCCTGTCTTATAGAAAAAAGGTCTTATTCCTTGTACACAGCTCCAAATTAGCAGGACATCGAGGTATTCATAAAACTGAGTCTTTACTTGAAGAACAGTTTTGGTGGCCTTCATACAAGAAGGACGTTCGCGAGTTCATTCTTGCTTGTAGGGTCTGTGCTTCCACGAAATCATCCAAAGCTCGTCCTTTGGGCCTCCTTTTGCCATTGTCCATTCCCGATAAACCCTGGACAAGTATTGCCATGGATTTTATAGTGGATCTGCCCCCTTCCAGGAACCATAAGGTTATATTGACTATAATCGACAGATTCTCTAAGATGACTCATCTCATCCCGCTAATCAAATTACCCTCCTCTTCTGAACTGGCCTCTTTATTTATAAAAGAGGTAGTACGTTTACATGGCATACCTCAGGATATTACATCTGACAGGGGTCCACAGTTCATTTCACGGTTCTGGAGGGCATTTTGTGACCAATTAGGTATTGTCCTTAACCTTTCTTCTTCTTATCATCCCCAATCTAATGGGGTTACGGAAAGGATGAATCAATGCCTGGAACAATACATCCGCTGTTTCACTTCTGAGCACCAAGACGATTGGGTGGAACTACTTCCATGGGCTGAATTCGCCCATAATAATCTAATACACGAATCCACTCAACATAGTCCCTTTTTTTATTAATTATGGGTTTAATCCTACAACTTTGCCGAGTTCTTTTTCATCTACAGGAGTGCCTAGTGTTGACAGCACTCTTCATAATATGAAGGACACTTGGCTAGGGGTTAAACATATCTTAAATCAAAAGACTCAGATTCAAAAGAAAAATGCAGATAGACGACGTAGGGCTGCTCCTACGTTCGTGGCAGGAGACAGGGTTTGGTTAAGTACCCGTAACATAAAGTTAAAAGGTACCCTCGATGAAATTTGCTCCCCGTTTCATAGGCCCTTTTCAGATAATCAAACGCATTAATCCGGTCTGTTATAGTTTAAGATTACCTAATACTATGAAAATTCCTAACACTTTTCATGTTTCCCTTCTCAAACCGTTCATTTGTAATCGTTATACGCAGATTGTCTCCACTCCTCCTACCACACCAGTGGAGGATCATCTCAAATACGAAGTTAAATCTATATTAGATTCCCGGATTTCTAGATGTAGATTACAGTATCTCCTTGATTGGAAAGGGTACGGTCCCGAGGAGCGATCGTGGGTCAATGCATCAGATGTTCACGCCCCTCGCCTGATTCGTCTGTTTGAGAGGCGGCGCTCTTGTGGGTTCGGTTCCACCCGCCCTGGGGGCGGTTCTCAAGGGGGGGGTACTGTAACAAGCGCTTACCTTTCCCCGCCGGTCCCGCGCAGCGCCGGGTCCTCCTCCGATCCTTCCGGGGGGCGGCTCAGCTATTCTGACGCCGGCCGCTCGGAACACACCCACATTTATGACGCGGCGCATGCGCGCCGACGTCAGACCGAAAATGGCGCCAAAATTCAAACGTGGCCACGCTCCCGGACTTTTTGGGGGCGTGGCTACGGAATTAAAGCCAAAGAACACACACTATAAAAGGGCTATCATGACACTTGTCAGATGCCCTAGTGTGGTTCTTGTTTAAGTCCCCTGGTGCTATCTTTTCTTATTGTCCTTCCTGGTATTGACCCTTGGCTACTCTCTCTGACTGTTCTGTTTTCTGGTTTCCCGTCACTTGGCTTGGATAATCGTGTGCCCGTCTTCCGTATTTCCTTGACCTCTGGCTATTTCTCTTGACTATTCTCAGACGCTAGTCCGGCCATTCTAAGGTCCGGTAACCGTCTTTCTGTGGGTTTCACGCTGTGTGAAGGGGTCATTGTTGTGACTTTGGTCACTGTCGTGACACTACTAGTATTTCAAATAAAGCCCCATCACTCTGATGTGGACAGAGCTGAATGTAGTGGCGGAGGTTTATTAGTCAAAAAACAAAACAAAAAAAAAACCAAGGATCACACATTCAACATACATAGAGGACATATTAATCACTTATTGCTCACTGGAGACTGGGGTTCTTATTAATATGCCAGCCTACTTCCTGACAGTGCGGCAAGGAGGAAGACTATATAGAGAATACTCGGGATTTAAAAATGGAGTATGAAAAACATGAAGGTGCAGCATTATTTAATTTACCTCTCTGCAATTTTAAAATGCCCAAAGCTCTCCATAAACGCTCTAGTACTATAAGGATTACTATCCCTTCACAGTAAAATGTGTGGGAAATCCTTCTGCATTAAAGCACTAGTGAGTCTTAATACTGGGGCTTCACCAAACAACTGTATAATCTAGAAAGGCAAGGTTGAGAGTAGAGTATGCCTTCATTATATGCAACAGTTCATAAGTGTGCAAGACCGCTTCATAATGTAAACAAAAACATGTATTACTCTCTTAGGAAGAACCTTGACAGAACCATAAATCCTTTAACATTGTTTCAGGAGGAAGAGAAGATTAACAAAAAACACATACATTTAAAACGCAGGTGAATTTCACCCAGACTTTGGATGGGTATGATAAAAGTCTTCAGTTTCAGATTTCACAGCTTCGACCTCTCATACTTTACTCCCTCACCTTCCGGCAAACATAAATTTAAAGCTACTTAAAGGACCACTCTAGGCACCCTTACCACTTCAGCTTAATGAAGTGGCCTGGATGCCAGGTCCAGCTAGGGTTAACCCATTTTTTTTTTTTTTTATAAACATAGCAGTTTCGGAGACACTGCTATGTTTATAAATGGGTTAATCCAGCCCTCAAAGCCTCTAGTGGCTGTCTCATTGATAGCCGCTAGAGGCGTTTGCGTGATTCTCACTGTGAAAATCACAGTGAGAACACGCAAGCGTCCATAGGAAAGCATTGTAAATGCTTTCCTATGAGACCGGCTGAATGCGCGCGCAGCTCTTGCCGCGCGTGCGCATTCAGCCGAAAGGGAGGAGAGGCGGAGAAGGAGAGCTCCCCGCCCAGCACTGGAAAAAGGTAAGTTTTAACCCCTTTCCTCTCCCCAGAGACGGGCGGGAGGGGGACTCTGAGGGTGGGGGCACCCTCAGGGCACTATAGTGCCAGGAAAACAAGTATGTTTTCCTGGCACTATAGTGGTCCTTTAAAATAACCTTCCTAAACTAAAGATTATGTAGATCGGTTTTGTCTATGTGGCTATACTATGATGACACCACCAAATCAATAATGGGCACATTTAAAAACACTTGCAGAACCTGACGCTATAAATAATGTAATTTAATTCTCTGTGTTTTTAATCTCTATATGTCAATTTTTTGGGCCATCTTAGCATATCTCTAATAAATACAATGCAATATCCCAATTCTTTGCTTTTTGCAGATTGCATGTGGTCAGCAATTTTATGACTCATATCTGCCTTGTTCCAAATAGAAAATGACACTTCTCACCTTGAATTAAATGTTATAGACCGTTATTAATAACAACCTTTCCACCCACTATATATAGCCACGCCGAGGTAAATATAAATTCAGATTCCATGCCATTAAAATAGGTCATCTCAGAGGACTATTAAAAAACAAAAAAATAAAATAAAAAATAAAATGTCAGATTGTGCAAACAAGCCGAAAAATAGTCAAAAGTATTTATTTAAATATGTTCACTGCAAGACAGCAAAAGCAGTGACGTGCGAAATTGACACCCCAATACACCTTGAACAGAGTTTAGTACTTGGAGGTCTCCGTTATGGTCTCCTTGCATACATCTGCTGATCACTCCAGTGATTTGCTGCAGCTCTCACTCAGGGACACCACAGGGGGAATCATTTGCTTCCCCTGTCTATCCAAGTCATTGTACAGCATGTGCCATGCTATGAAAGTCTTACTTGCTGGACACGTTTACAGTTTTCTATAAACCTGTACAGTTGGGCCTGAAGCTCCATTCACAAATCAATGAGTAAAGCCACCCATCTCGCATTGCTGGTAGAAATGGGCCTGAATAAAAAGGAAATTTTTTTTGGGGGGGGGCATGGAGCTTGACTTTTAAGCATAGCAGACAGAGGCACATGAGCCCCTGAATATTTTGCCGATCTGGAGGTGCTCATACCGACCAGGGAGCTATTCCACCAGCTAAAATGGGCCATGTTGGTGGAATTCCAGACTTGCCTAAAGAGCATTACTCATGTCATAATTCCACTGGGAGCCAGATAAATGTTATTGCCACCTGTTGCTGGGGAGAGGTGGACAGTCTTCCTACTCTCTATATACCGACACAGAACTGCTGGGCTCCTACACCCCCCATTTCAGCAACCTACCACCACCATTCCACCACCATGGAAAGTGGAGCCTAGGCTTGTTTCGGTTTGTTTAGTACATAATGCTAGTTATGACACCTATGGAGCATATTGCATACTCCACACGTCTGTCTACCTTTGACTTCTTTTCTTTTAAATGTAAATTTTGCTGGTTTATGTTCTTTTCATATTTAGAAAAAATAGGTTGCTCAATCCAAAAGTGTTTTGTCAATATGCAAACGTCAAATTGATTGATTGTACTTTATCTTAACTCCTCATCCTTCGTATGCTATGTATTAACCAAATGCCTCAAAAAAAGAATGATCTTTTTTTTTTTTTTTTTTTAATATAATTCTTTATTTTGTCGTGCATTGGTTAAACAAAATACATTTATGCCAGCAATGCCACAACAGCAAATGCCAGTATTTTCAAAGCATAGATATACACTCCTATGGCATGGGTAGACAGTAGTGTGGTGCAAATCTTAGTGTGCATGTAAGAGGTTAATCAGGCTTATCCGCTGGTAATGTGATATAACAGTGTAGCAGATGCTTAATGAGTGAGTAAATGCTTAATTCTGAGTAAACATTACACTTAGCTTAGTTACTAGCTAGCTCCATAACAATGTTATGTGAGAACATCTGATAAGTAGTGATGTCGCGAACCGTTCGCGAACCTTTTATGGAACCCACCACTAAGTCTTAAAACATCCGCCCCTTTGCGTTAAGACCTCCTGCAAATGCTGCTTGCTCATAGTAATGGATTTATCATATTAATTATTTACCTTCTAAACTTTCCTGCTCGTCTGACGTGTAATCATCTCGCTGACTTTGCTCTCTTAAGAACTGGATGACTGCATACACCAGGCGTTTGATAGATGACATGTTTTCAGCTGATGAGAACCACCTAAATCACATTAACAAGGAGATGGGATTCAGACCCTATGGAAGCACTTGGTGCCAAACATAATGGTAAAAAATGAAACCTGCATCTGGTGTATAATAAATCAACCGTGGATGCTGGCAGAAATGAAGAGAGACAGGAAATTGCTATTCTTGCAGTAATACAATTTTATTGGATAAACAAAATGTATGCAAACAGGGCTGGATTAAGACAAAAATTCAAACCCAGCTTCCAAAACATAACACACCTAAAAAACTGATTCTGTAATTAAACAAACAATCTCCAAGGTGGTGGAGAGAGAAAAATACAAATACATTTTTTTATAAATCACAAGGATACCTTTAAAAGAAACAATATGTAAACGGGACAAGCTAGGCACCATGCCCACTTCATCTAATTGAAGATGTTATGGGGCCTGTAGCCCCCCCCAGTTCAATATTTCTATGCAGCGTTAAAGCAATACTCCAAGCACCATAACCACTACAGCCAACTGAAGAAGTGGTTATGGTGCAGGCACAATGGGGAGGGGGAAGTATAACTAATGACTTTGCCATGTAGTGGCTATGGTGCTTGGTGTTCCTTTAAATGGTTTAATAATAAAGGGGGGTCCCTGGCAGCCCAAGATTGTCACATTACTGAAACTTTTTGACACTATATTTGCTTTCCTTTGTTTAAACTCAAACTTTCATATTTCAGATAAAAGGTTTCCTGTGTGAAACCTATTCAACTATTCACAAAATGCACATTTGGAAATGTACCGATAGGCGCACTTCCCAATTACTGAAAAAGGTGGAGCGCTTAAATTAGTGCAATCTGCTTACAATATTTCTCAAACAATTTAAAAAAGTACCAATGGAGTGCAAATACCACAAGTATACTAAAAAGTGTATATAAAACCCTGTACATATTCACTGCAAAGTGCAATATACTTAATGTAGCAATGCCAATTCAGATATTATACATGTATTCTGTTCAATTTTCCCTCAAAAGTAAACAAACAATACAATTATGCAGACAGTCTGAACAATATGAGAAAAAAAAAAAAAGATATACATTTCCTACAAGAAATTTTACCAGGGAAATGTGTCTGTTATTACAGTCCGGTTGCCTTTAGGATTCAGTTTGCCAGAGCCATTTTAAGGTGAACCTCTCATGATCAGTCTTGCCATTCTCAGCACTATTGTAACTCTACTGCTGCCACTGCTCTGTTGCTACTGGCCTTGCTTGTGAACACGTCCCAAGCATGGCAATTCTCTCCAACGATGCAGACATGCCGGTTTAAAAGAACACTCCAAGCACCATAACCACTACAAATCACTGTAGTAGTTATGGTAAGGACCATCCCCTGGCGCCCCCAAAAAGGTTTGACTTCTTACTTGGGGACGGACGGACGCCACACCATGCCTCCATTTCCATCTCCTTAGCAGGAACTTCTATTAGGTCTCTTTAGCTAAGCCCAGCAATGCAGGGTTTAGCTTATTGGCTGAGAGCCCAGGTAAGAAGTAAAAATGTTCAAAATTAGCTTGAGTACCATAAGCACTAAAGTGAGCTGTAGTGATTATGGTGCTTGAAATGTTCCTTTCACTGACAGTACATCTGATTGAATAGTCCCATACTCACCGAGAAAGTGTGATTTAATATCCCAATATAAGAGGGAATCCCCCTCCCCAAAATAGGAACCCTTACAAGAAAAAAATGTGGTACTTCTCGCTAAGGACCACACTAAGAGCTAAGCTGGCTGCAGTCTCTCCTTCAGTCCCAGATAAACCGTCCGGTCTTCAGATGGAGACAGCGTCTACCTCGTGCACTGCAAGAAAGGGCAGAGACTAGAAACACTGCTGCAGGTCCAGGCTAAGGTTTTAGCCTGGACCTGCAGCAGTGTTAAGGTTAAGGTTTTAGCCTGGACCTGCAGCAAAAATTAAAATATAGGATTTGGGAAATTCTTTTTTGTTTAAGCAGCTAAAATCTAGAGGGTATATTTAAAATCTTTTTGTGCGCTCTCTTTTTTCACTTTATTACGAACAAATAGATGATCAGCCTGGCATGAATGCATGTCAGGCTGCCTGCCAATTATGCAGGATAACCAACCAAGGGCATAATGTGCAGACAGCCCCCTAAGTTTGGCATAAATGCGCCAGACCTACTACAAAAACAGTTATACTGTAAGTCTGAGTTGTCTTTCTAAAAGTTTGCAGTGTGTGTGAGGAGACTGAAGTCACACAGCCACCCCAGGGGCAACTACCCTACAATCAGAACACACAGTACATTAATTCTGACACTGACCACACCTGAAAAGATTGGCAGGACCCGCTAGAGTAAATTGTGTTCAGACACTTCATTAATATTAGATTTTCTTCCAAGGCTGCAAGACACGAAGGAGATATTCATTGTGAAGGACTGTATCTGTATATAAAACGTTTGCACTGTAGAGAGAATTCTTTGCACACATCCTGCATAATAGGCTGTATTCTATCCTTTCAATCTTGCAGTTTTGCTTGGCAAGTGAATACATACACGATTAAGCAGAATAGCAGTCTCTAGTACATTACAGACGAGGACAACATTGTAGGGGTTAAAGGACCACTCTAGGCACCCAGACCACTTTAACTTAATGAAGTGGTCTGGGTGCCAGGTCCTTCTAGGGCTAACCCATTTTTTCATAATTATAGCAGTTTCAGAGAAACTGCTATAATTAAGAATGGGTTAAGCCTTCCACCTAATCCTCTAGTGGCTGTCTCATTGACAGCCACTAGAGGCGCTTGCGTGCTTCTCACTGTGAAAATCACAGTGAGAGCACGCCAGCGTCCATAGTCCATAGGAAAGCATTGTAAATGCTTTCCTATGAGACCGGCTGAATGCGTGCGCCCTCCCTCACTATATTCAATTGTCGTGGTCTTTTATTGGGGTTGAGGTCACCTGCCTAATTTAAAGTGGGGACTAGCTGAGTTTCGTTATCGTTTGGTTTAAGTTCTGGCTAATAGGGCGGAACTCTGGTGAGTTATGTGTTAAAACTCTGTGGGTTTAAATACCGGAGATGTTTGGTTATAAAGTTAATAAGTGATGTTTGCAGTATTTGTAAACTAAATAAAAGACCACTGCCTTTTCAGCAGACTTCTGAGTCTGTTTATTTTGTTTCTGTGCCTTGTTATGCTATGTATTACTTGCTGTTATTATGTCAGTATGAATTAACCCCTGCTGAGCACATGCTTCTTAGCTGGGACCTGCAGGGCACAAGCCTCGCTCAAAGCAAGTGTGGTAGCATCCACCTTCTGCAGAAGACAGATCCTGCCAGTCATTCATTGGCTGAAAGCATCCGTTGAGGTTCTCAGCCAATAAAAGAAACTCTGTGCAAGTAACATGCACAGAACTGACATAAGTCAGCCCTGATGTTCCTGGCTGAATAGTGATGCTGCACCTCTGGCAGCTAAGCTAAATATCTCACTATGTTTCACTTACAGGGTTATTGCATCATGACCCCTTCAAAAACACTTAAGAAGTCATGGTGCTTGGAGTAACTCTAAGTTCCTGGCCAGATATATTTCCAGCTATTATTATAGTACATTCATTGATATATTAAGCTCTCATTTCACCAATGTTTTAAAACGTCTGGTTTATAGTATCATCTGACTAGTCAGTTGACAAGCTCAAAAGATAGATTTTGAACTTACATTATACTGTAAAACAAATATCCCTAGTCTATTAGCACTTGACACACAAAAAGCATTTGACAGGCAAAACTAGACGTATGTGATTAATACATTCAAAAACGTATATTATTATAATTCATTACATTTGTACCAACTCATTTGCCAATTTTTAATTCTTGTATTCCTGTCCCAGCCCTTCTCTATTACCAGACAGAGATGTTCATTGTCATTATTACCATTGATATATGTGTGGCTCTGGAACCTCGGGTTAGAAACTGCTAACAAATAGTTGATATCCCTAATGTATGTCTGCCTGGGAGCGATGTCCCGAACGGTTCGCCACGGACGGCAAACATATGCGCTGTTGGGTCCGCCCCCTATGTCATCATTGAGTAAACTTTGACCCTGTACCTCGCATTCCAGCCAATCAGCAGCAGACCCTCCCTCCTAGACCCTCCCACTTCCTGGACAGCATCCATTTTACATTCATTGTGAAGCTGCATTCTTAGTGAGCTGTCCAGGAGGTGGGAGGGTCTGCTGCTGATTGGCTGGAATGTGTCTGCTGACTGTGAGGTACAGGGTCAAAGTTTACTCAATGATGAAGAATAGGGGGCGGACCGAACAGCGCATATGTTCGCAGTGAACCGTTCGGGACATCACTACTGCCTGGGTGTCCCCTCCTCCTAATGCAGATTTTTGTAGTTCAGATCACTCAGGGCTTTCAATCGACAAAAGCACAACTTACAATACTTCCTTACATATATTTGATAAGGAAGTATTTTTCAGAAGCAAAATGGTGTGGCTAAGGAGGCAGGCTTATGGTGAAGCATTCTGGAAAACAGTTATTTTTGTGCAAAAGCTATGAAGTCTTGAATTTGCAAAAAATACAGCATTTTAATGAGGCCTAACGCCTATCAAATGCATTAAACTTGTATTGCCGCTGAGAATATCCCTTTAACTAATTTTACTACATTTTTAATCAGAGTATAGTAGACTTTCAGAACACAAAATTAACACATGTAAGACACAAGCATCTTCTAAATCTCTCCCACACAGTAATAGCTCAATTGAAAGACTTCCCTAAAATTTCATCTAAGAATCAAACATAGATAACCACCACCAAGGCCTCTCATCTAGTACTAAAGGAAACTTCACATCCCTTCTTAGAGATATCACAGCATCGGCTGTTGAAGATAATGTAACAAGCCCGGCACGATGACTCACATTTGGTGGAAATGTCCTGAAGGAAATCATCTCTCCTTTCAAGGATATAACAAGCCAATATATCCAACGCACCATGAGTCTTGCTGCTAGACATGTTGCCAACGGCTATACCCATTTATAGAGGATAAAAGGTAACAATACAAGAATGTATAAATACCTGGCTGGACTCGAGCCGTCCGGTCTCCATTTCTCACCCTTACCCCCTCCTAGCCCATTTTCATTTTCTTACTTCTAATCCTTATTAAGTTAAATCATATCTGTTTCTGTATTTAAAAATGACAATACTTGATGTTACCAACTTTATCGTAACATTCTGTATTTGACAAAATGAGATATATATATATATATATTTATTAAAGAGACACTGCACTGCCCACATCTTTTTAAAATCACTATTTAGTAGATTTGCCCCAAATTAATACATGCATGCAATTCTGAATTTTTCATTTGGTATATATCTACAACAGTTTGTAAAAGCTGCAGTTCTCTTTTCTGCAGCCTTTGTAAGCCCTCCTTCCCAAACATTCGTGGCTGTCCAATCACAAACTTCTCCATGTAGCTCAATGAGAAGTCTTTACAAGGCAGATGCTCTGAGCAATTGCTGCCTCTTCAGGTTAGCTGCACTGATAACTAAACCAGGAAGTAACAAGACCAGTTGTCAGTTGTCACTTGGGAGTGTAACAAGGTTAATTTATAAAACTGATCATTTCTAATGAAATCTTCACTTTCTGTCAAATGGAAATAAAAGAGGGCACACCCTTCACACATAAAGCATTTCATCAAGCTAAAGTGCTTTAGGGGTTTGTAGTGTCCCTTTAAGCACAAAAAGCCCAAGAACAAATATTGTAAGGGAGCTTAGTTCAATTACAGCTAGTGTTAGTTTTTATGCGATTATAATTCTTAGTTTTTAAATATTGACGCATCCACAAGTAGGACGGATTTTGTATTGGGATCAGAGGGAGTAAATTTACCATACCGACGTCACTGAACCAGGGGACTTATTTTTTTTTTGCAAACTGACACAGTTATTTAATTGCTACAATTTAGCTATAAGTGGTGCTTTTGTTTTTCAAAAGCTCTCAGTGATTTATTATTTCAACGGCATGCCTGGCTGTGCCATGTACATGCATAGGGCAATACAAGAGTGCGCATGTGCTTGTTCATCCAGCATTTCTGCGCAGATTCTCAAGCACACATAAGTGTGCCCAGAGCATCGTAGAGCAACAATGCCATCGTGGACATAGCATTTCCGCTAAAAGGTAAATATGTTCTTTACTTACCTTCACAGCAATATTCACCTAGGTAAAGATTGAGATCTGCTTAAATCTGCCTACATGCACTTGCTCAAATAAAACTACACATTGCTGTTTACGACCAGTTTATGACCAGTATAATCTCTGATATCTATAGATAGCGGTGCTATACAAGCCAAACACTGCAAGTTTGCTGAGAGGCATTAAGGCAAGAAAAAAAAAAGA